TCGGAAGAGGGAGCAGACGTCATGAAGACGTTAGCGGATATGCTGAAACCGGTATTGGAGCAGCTCGGTGGTATTAACCAGCAACTCGCCACACTAAACCAAAACTTCGCCTTGCAGCAGCGCCAGCTGGCAGAGACAGAGAAAAAAGTGGAGCAGGCAACTGAGAAGCTGGTAGAGATGGACGCCGGGAACAAGAAGATGAGGAAAAGAGTGACAGAGGTGGAAATAAAACAAAAGCTGCAGGAAAACCGTTTACTTCAGCTGCAAATAGAGAAAGCAAACATGACTCTCACATTTCAGGGACTGCCTGAAAAGGGAAAAAAAAAGATTTGAAGAAGACTCTGGGAGAGATCATCGCTCCAGTAACAGGCTTATCAGCGGATGAAATAATAAAAGATATAGAGTCTGCTTATTGGGTATACTCTAATTACATTAAAAAAATAGCCTGCCTGGGGAGATTGTAGTCAGGTTTGCAAGAAGACAGACCAGAGATGTTATATTAAAGGCAACTTCGGCAGATCCACTGAAATTTGGGAATACAAATATTAAGACTCTAAAAGACATTCCATTTGAAATTCGTCAAAAGAGGAAAAGCTACAAAGAATCTCATTTCTTCAGACAAACGGAATAAAAAATCGTTGGGCGATCCCTGAAGGTGTGATCTTTAAAATTAAAGATAAAAGAGAGAAGATTGACTCCATCTTTAAAGCAAAGGAATTTTTGAGATGACAGCTGGGGCCAGAAGTAGAACTCAAAGATGAAGAAACAAAATCGAGTGATTCTGCTACCTCTGGAACGGGGGAGGATTCTGGGGAGGAAGCGGGTGCGGGAGCAAACAAAACGTTGTATGATTTCAGAGAAAGAAGACAGAAGTAAGGGCAGAAGGACTCTGAAAATAGCCCTATGAAAATAAGAAGATGCTCAAGAAGTGTTCTCAAAATATTAAACTTGTTAACATTGAAGCAGTAGTTAAAAAAACCCCACAAGTATATTGTTTTACTAACACGTATTTACTAACATGTAGATTAACACGGAAATAATCTTCTACTCTTGGGATTTTAGTTAGTGTGGTGGGTATGTTTTCTTTATCCCTAGTTGTAGTCCCCTCCCTATATTTTCTGTTGTAGTTATGTAGTCTATTGAAATAACAATAAAATTACCCTCTCGGGGGTTTAAAAAAAAAGAGAGAGAAAATGGATGCTTTGGAGGGTGGACTCTGTGCCGTTGTATCCCACTGAGATCCCTGTCTTCCTGAAGCTCCATTGCCAAATCTCCAGGAGTTTCCCAACCTGGATCTGGCAACCCTCTTATCAGGATGAGCAACATCTCGCTATTTTCCTTAGTCATCTGGAGACCTAATATTGTAGCTAGTTTTGTGTTACTCTGAATGCTACAGGCACGATGTTCGAAAGGGAACCGTTAACAAGGAAGAGCCGATTTCCTTTGTGGCTCCCCTTGGAAAATTAGGGGCACGATACAGAGTAAAACTAGAGTAAATCCTAGATTAGGATGTCTGGTGTACCAACTGCAAGGTGATTCTGGCCACATCTCAGTGCGTTATCTATGTGCCCTTGATTCCTAGGAATCTGGGGGCCAAATTGACCCACAAAGTGCCCTACATTTTGTCCAATCTCCCTATGTGTGGTGGTGGTGGTTAGTTAAAAACAGCTGGTGAGGAGGGTGGTTGAGGATCAGATTGGAAGATGAATTGGGAAAAGCCAGGATAGGTTGGCAGAGGCTTCCCTGTGCCTGGTGGGGATCAATGTTCCTTCTAAGCTGTGGAGTCTGATGAACAAAAATTCTACTTTTTTTTTTTTCATTTCAAATTTTATTAAAAGAGAAATCAAGTATACATAAACAAGATTGCTGTTTGAACAATAATACAAACTGTCAGTGCAGATACATATTTCACAATGCCACCTATTAATTGTGTTTATGATTATAGCAGGAACATCCTATATCCAAATCCTTGTCACTTTCTTGTGATATTCCAATTGTTCTGCTATTTCTACAATACTAACGTATAATAAATCTAGATATATTTTAGAAGGACCACAATAATAAATCATGAGAGTGCTCAGACCATTCCAAAAAAAAAAAATTTAAAAAAATTCAAAGATGAATCCATTCTGCATAACTAGTATTGGCTGGTAATACATCGTTTTCTGTAAAATATGTTATAAGAGGACACCATTTTGAGCTACTGGCGTTAAAGTTGTGAGCGAGCGATTTCGCTACTGCATAAATCAGTTTGCTCTGGAGCCATCCTTCCTGAGCTGAAACCAAAATGTGTGAGCCGGAGGCTAAAAAACTGTGAGCTAGCTCACACTAACTCAGCTTAGAGGGAACACTGGTGGGGATCTGGGGCAAGTATGTGCTTTGCCCCTCCTCCCACCTCTGATGCCACCAGGCATTAACTTGGAAAGTGTAGCAAGCCTCTGTGTCACAATCCTGGACTTCCTTGGCTGTCTCCAATCCCACGTACGAACCAGGGCCAATCCTGCTTAGCTTCCAAGAGCTGAAGAGATCAGGCTAGACCAGGCTATTGGGGCTGCTATATTTACTGCAGGTATTGCTTAAAACTTGAATTTAGCCTAGCGATCCTGGCCTAGTGGTCTTGTTCTCGTAATGCTTAAATGAACGGAAAATGTATGTTTAGCTCATACTATCCTAATACAGAGTCTTTACCAGAGATTCAGGATACAAAGGATGCAAAGTTCTTTTTTTTTATATACCCTGACCAGATCCTTTCCAATGAGGAGAAGAGATTAAATTTCGACCACTACGGGGATGTGGGGGAGAACCAGGGGTATCCCCAACAGCAGCAGCAGCACCAGCAGCGTCAGTTCCACCACTTTCACAAAAGTTTTTATTTCGACGAGTCCTTCTTTCACTTCCCCTTCAATTCAGACCGCCGGGACTCCTCCGATGAGAAGTACCTGCTGCACTTCTCACACTACGTCAACGAGATCGTGCCCGATAGCTTCAAGAAGCCCTACCTCATTAAAATCACATCGGACTGGTGCTTCAGCTGCATCCACATTGAGCCCGTGTGGAAGGAGGTGGTGCAGGAGCTGGAAGCGCTGGGTAAGGAAGGAGCAAGCGCAAGCTCGTTGCATTGGGTGTCATGCCTGCCTCAGCCCAAGGATGGATAACGTACCCTTTCCTGATTAATTTATCCCTTGCAACCAAAACATCTTGTGTTACTGCCGGATGACACACAAGCTTTGCTAAGCCTCCAAGGCAGGCCCATAGCCAGGATTTTGAGGCTCGTGGGGCAATTTTTTTTCTGGTGGGGCTGAAGTTCTCATTGCAGAAAGAAAAGCCATGTAGCCAATAGAAAGCTGTTACCAGGATAGATCTCTAAATTGCAAGCTGTCAGCCACCTTAGCTGCTGCAAGTTAATCACTTCTGCCAGCCTAAGTAACAATTCTTCTGTAGTCAAGAAAGCTAACACTTAGGTAGAAAAACTCTCTTAAAGGAGACCAGTTTCTTGCCACAGAGAGACAATGCATCCTAGAGGTCACCTACTCCAACCCCCTTGCTCAGTGCGGGAATTAGTCAACTACAGCACCCCACTCTGCTTAAAGGAGCACACGCCTTTTAAAAAAACCATTTTTAAATGATTGAAAAAAACATTCGCAGGAGAAAGTCCCGTGGGGCTGTGCCTTTAAGAAAGGGGGTGGAGCCCGTAAAAGCCCCACTGTAGCTACAGGCCTGCTCCAAGGGAAGGAGAATCTGAGGGGCAGCCACTGAAAATGCCTCTCTGTGAACCTTTTGATGCCAAGATGATGTATTTCAAAGGATGGTCTTGGTTGATCTTAAAGATCTTGGCGAGGTGAAGGAAGCAAAGGTGGCCTTTAGAGCTTTTGTTAGCTCATCGCCAGCCTGTTGCATTGAGCCAGGAAATCAGCAGGGGTCTGCGACGGGTTCCCTTTGTTTCACCTAATTGACTCTAAATCCATTTTCAGAGCCAGGCTGCATCTTCCCTCGGCTGGCGCGGTGCAGTTCTGCAGCCATGCTGGGAGCACCGGGCGTGCTGTTCTCAGGAATAAAATTAATTGAATAATGAAAGGCTCCTGTGAGCCTCAAGCACCCGTCCATAGAGGAGCTTGTGTGATTCACTGTTCCAGCCTTACTCATTCAGCTTCTGTGGGGAGCTGCGTTGCTCCAGCTCTGAATCAGCTTCAGCTGGCTCGTTCTGTCTCTCCCAATGAGAGAGGCGCAACAGAACAAGCTCTCCCTAGAGGAGAGGGGAGGCTGCCGACGTACCTTCGCCTCTGTTCAATCAGGAGGTGCCCCCAAGCCAGCGACTTGTGCATGAAATGCCTGGAGATGATCTCCGCTGGGGGCTGGGGAGGGGGGAGTTTTTACTCAAGGGGGGGGCATGCATTTCAATCCAGAGAAAAACACATGTTACACCAATGTAGCGCCATCTGTCTCAGAATTGGGAAGGTGCCGGTGCAGCAGTTTTGAGCATCGGTCCTCCAAGTGCCCTCCTGGAAACATCCCCATTTGCTCCAGTGCCATTTGTAGCTGAAAGTAGGTGTCCGTCGAGGATCGGAGGCATCTAGCGGTTCCGCTTCAGGGGAGGTTGCCAGTAGGAAGGGGGCTCCCGTGGTCCGTTACCGGGGCTCTGAGGTGCCACCGCATTCTTTGTCCCCCCCCGAGGGGGATGTGTGTGTGTAAAGTGCTAGGTTGCAGCCAACTTATGGCAACCCCATAGGATATAAAGCCTTGAAAAAAGGCAAATGGGGAATGTTTTGCTGTTTGTGTAGCTGGACTTCTCTAAAGTAGAGAGCTGGGGGATGTCCTTGCATCTGCCACAGTCTCTGAATGGCAGCTGTGGTTTTTGCGCAGTGAACTTTCCGTTGAGCCTCCCAGTTTCCGCAACAGCAGGTGTAATCACAGCTTTCTAGTGATGATGTTTTTTTCACCGATGCCCCATGCTAGAGCTTAGCAGAGAAAACAAATCCGATTTGGCTTTTGCTCGGGCCATCTTTCATTTTACTGGCCTCGCTTGCCTCTTTCAGGAGTGGGCATTGGCGTCGTCCATGCTGGCTACGAGAGGCGCCTGGCGCATCACCTCGGGGCCCACAGCACCCCTTCGATCCTGGGACTTATCAACGGGAGGATAACCTTTTTCCACAACGCGGTCGTGCGGGAGAATCTGCGCCAGTTTGTGGAGAGTCTTCTTCCCGGGAACCTCGTGGAGAAGGTAACTCGCTTTAAACATATGGAGCAGAGGTCCATCAGTGGCTATTAGCCACAAGGTATAGATAGGGGATCTGGGGCAAGTGATGCTCTGTCATCTTGGTGCTTGGGGGGGGGGTCAACAGTGGGTGGGCTTCTAACGTCCTGGCCCCACTGGTGGACCTCCTGATGGCACTGGTATTTCTGGCCACTGTATGACACAGAGTGTTGGACTGGATGGGCCTTTGGCCTGATCCAACGTTGGCGTCTCTTATGTTCTTAAGCGATTCGCTCTTTGGGGCTGAGGGGGAGGGCTTCCCTGCTGACTCAGGCTAGACAGCTGGTTGACTCTTAGCAGCCGGTTTTCTCCGGTAGCCAGCCAGGTATCTCGGGGAAGCCACAGCCTCCCCCTGCTGCTCTCCCCCAGAATCCAGTGGGCAAAGGTGCACTGCTTCCAAACAGGGAGATTCCATTCATCCGTGGATGGACTCGTCCTCCATGAGTTCATCTAGTCTCTTTTTAAAGCCATCTGTGGCCATCATTACTTCAAGTGGCAGCGAATTCCATAAGTTTAGTTAGTGCTTATGAGAAGAAGTACTTCCAGACATGATGCTGCCTTGTACTGAATCCATCAAGATCAGTCTTGTCTAGCCCTGACCTGGATAAGCCCAGGCAAGCCCGATCTTGTCAGATCTTGGAAGCTAAGCAGGGCCGACCCTGGCAAGTACTTTGGTGCAGCGGTTTGGTGTAGTGGTTAAGTGTGTGGACTCGTAATCTGGGGGAACCGGGTTTGATTCCCCACTCCTCCACTTGCAGCTGCTGGATGACCTTGGGCAAGCCATAGTTCTGTCAGAGCTGTTCTCTCACAAGCGGTTCTCGAAAGAGCTCTCTCAGCCCCACCTACCTCACAGGGTGTCTGTTGTGGGGAGGGGAAGGGAAAGGAGTTTGTAAGCCACTCTGAGCGAAGGGCAGTGTATAAATCCAATCTCTTCTTATTCTTCTTCTACTTGGAAGGGCGACCTCCAAGAAATACCAGAGGTGGGACACAGAGGCAGTCATATCAAGTCACCTCTCTGAAAAATGTCCAAGCCCCCAGTAGGGATCGCCACAAGTCACCATGACTTCTAAGCAAGCACACAAACACGCACACGCAGTACCTTCTCCAGGGTCTCCAGGGATATCACCTACTGCTGGTTCCAGGCAATGCCTCTCCAGGGTCTCAGAGGTTCTGTCTCATCACCTACTGCCAGTTCCTTTTAACCGCAGATGCCAGGGATCGAACCTGGGACCTGCATGCAAAACAGATGCTCTTCCACTGAGCCGCGGCCCCTTAGTCTCCCATCCGCCCTAAAATCTATTCAGCATTGAATGAGAAGGTCTCATACTAGCTAAAAGTCTGCTGGGTTTCATAGGAAGTGAGAAGCAAGTAACTTTTTGTATAAGGAAAATTGGGGAGGGAACCCCAGCTTGCAAAATCCCTTGTGTTATTTTCCCACCCTCGGGGTGAACTATATCCCCATTTCTTCTGCTGCGTAAAATTTTCTCACGCAACCTCTATAAAAACTGCAGGTCTTCAAAATGCCGTCTGAAACTTGTATCCGAGTGTGCAATGTCGCCTCCCCCCGAGCATTCGGAAACTGATATTTCTGTTTTACGTTGAAGATTACAGATAAAAACTACGTCAAATTCCTGTCGAACTGGAAGAGAGAGAACAAGCCACACGTGCTTTTGTTTGATCACATGCCGCTCGTGCCGTTGTTATACAAGGTAAAGGGGCTTCGCCATTCAGCAATAGCTTCATCACTCCCCCTTGCAGGCCCAAGAGGGGCTTCCTTAGCATAAAGCCGTGGTGACCTTCTGGCTTCATTCCTGGAGCTTTCCTGAGGGGCATGGTTTTTAGGGCTAGCCTTTGGAAGCTCCCTCTGCTACATTCACCACAAATCCCAAAGAGGCCTCCCCTAACATCGTCATGGGCTGGGATTCAGAACTTGTTGGAGGATGAGTAAGGCTTTGGGAACAAGTAGAATCTGGGTGAGTGGGGGGGAAGAGGAGTGGGAAGGCACGCAGCTGAACAAGGAGGTATTTGAAGTCTGAGAAGTGAGAGCAAACCGGCTTGATAAAAATGTGGAGCAGGGAGTGAAACTGGACTGACGCAGGAGGTGAGAAGTGTGGAGTCCGTGTTTGGCTAGCAGGGTCTCAGCTGGGCACATGTCAAAGCGTGGACTGGGGTGGAGGCAGGGCTATTTTTGGGCAGGAACGCACAGGAACGGAGTTCCGGCTGGATCCCAGGTTGGCCACTCCCAGCAGGAACTCATTAGCATAATAGGCCACACCCAACAGCAGAAACTCATTAGGATTGGCTACAATTAGGGGTGTGTGGCCTAACATGCAAAGGAGTTCCTGCTCAAAAAAAAAAGGCCTGGGTTTTGTCAACAAACAAGGTAAAGAGAATAAGAAGCAAAAGGTGGGTGTGGCTGGATGAGCACACTTCTGGTAATATGGGGGGGTGGCCTCATATGTGAATGAGCTGTGCTGTCAGGGGGGTGGCCTAATATGCTAATGAGTGGTGCTGTCAGGGTGTGGCCTAATATGCTAATGTGTTCCGGCTGTTGGGTATGGCCTATTATGCTAATGAGTTCCTGCTGGGCTTTTTCTACAAAAAAAGCCCTGGGTGGAGGACATGCCGTGCCTCACTGGGAGCGTGTCACAATCTAGAGTTCGAGATGCCAGTTTGCATCCTCTGAGATCTTGAATAATGAAATCTGAAAATGTGTTGTGTTTTTTGTTTGTTTGTTTCACAATCCTGGCAGATTCCAAACTGTGAGTGAAGGGGGGGGGGTTTAGGGCTCCCAACCTGTTCTGTGTCAAGAACCGCCTAAGTCCAGCAAGTGCAAATCCTGTGTGTCTGTTTGATTCCTTCCAGCTGACTGCTTTTGCATACCGAGACTATTTATCCTTTGGCTACGTATACGTTGGTCTCGGAGGGATCGAAGAGCTGTCCAGCCAGTACAACATCAACGTCTACGTGCCTACCATGATGGTCTTCAAGGAACACGTTGACAAACCCGCCGACGTCATCCAGGTATCCGTTCTCCAGCTGCCACGCAGGACTGCCCGGAGTGTCTGTATCGCTTCGCCAGTCGTTTTGCTCAGTAATGTCTGTTGAAGGCAGAACCCAAGAGTCTTGTGGCTCTTAAAAGACTGGCATTTACCGTAGCTTTCCCGAGCCAGATGTTGTACTCTTGATTGTCAGGTATGGAGAAGGGAACCCTCCTCCCCTGTAAACTTTGGGGTTTTAAGGTAATGAAATGCAGGAGGTACATGATTGTGTACATGCAGTGACTACTCACAAGAGCAGCAAAGTGATAGATGCACTGCCTTGTTAGGACAGCTGAGCTACTTTGCTTTTGTGTTTGCATGTTCCATCAGTGTGTGTGTGTAGGTGTGTGTGCGCATGCTCCTTAAATTCATTTATTTAGTTTACATCCTGCCTTGCTCCCCGGTACATACCCAAAGCAGCTTAAACACAGAGTGAGAGAGGATTTATACCGCACCCTTTACTACCCAAAGAGTCTCAGAGCGGCTTACAATCTCCTTCCCCTTCCCCTCCCCACAACAGACACTCTGGGAGGTAGGTGGGGCTGAGAGAGCTCTTTCGAGAACTGCCCTTGAGAGAACCAGCTCTGAAAGAACTTGTAACTGACCCAAGGTCACACCAGCAGCTGCCTGTGGAGGAGTGGGGAAATCAAAGCCAGTTCTCCTAGCTTAGAGTCCACGCTCCTAACCACAACACCAAACTTGAGAGCCAGCGTGGTGTAGTGAGAGAATGTCAGGGTGAGGATCTGGAGTCCCCGGATTCGAATCCCCACTCTATTGTGGAAGCTTGCTGGATGACCTTGGGCCCAGTCTCAGCCTACCTTGTCTCAAAGGGGTGCTGTGACAATCAAATGGAGGAGAATGGCGAAAGCCGTTTTGGTCCAACATAGCAAAAGGGGAGTTCTTCACCCTCTGCCGTTCAGGGCAGGCCTCTGTCTCATGGCCCATAAAGGACTGCATGCACTGCTAGTGCTCCATAAACGATCAATAATAAGAACTGCAGTTGAAGGGAAGCTCAGGGAAGGCTAAGTCTATTGTCCTCCTTTTAGGTCTTTTCCTGTAAATAGAAGCTACGTTTTGCTTCTTCAGTTTGGTGTAGTGGTTAAGTGCGCGGACTCTAATCTGGGAGAACCGAGTTTGATTCCCCACTCCTCCACTTGCACCTGCTGATGTGACCTTGGGTCAGTCGCAAGCTCTGGCACAGCTGTCCTTGGAAAAGAGCAGTTTGTGTCAGAGCTCTCTCAGCCCCACCCACCTCACAGGGTGTCTGTTGTGGGGAGGGGAAGGGAAAGGAGTTTGTAAGCCGCTCTGAGACTCCCAAGTGAAGGGCGGGGTATAAATCCAATCTCTTCTTCTTCTTCTTCTCTCCTGTGCATATCTGTGCCAGTTTGGTGTAGTGGTTAAGTGCGCGGACTCTAATCTGGGAGAACCGGGTTTGATTCCCCACTCCTCCACTTGCACCTGCTGATGTGACCTTGGGTCAGTCACAAGCTCTGGCACAGCTGTCCTTGAAAAAGAGCCATTTGTGTCAGAGTTCTCTCAGCCCCACCCACCTCACAGGGTGTCTGTTGTGGGGAGGGGAAGGGAAAGGAGTTTGTAAACCGCTCTGAGACTCCCAAGTGAAGGGCGGGGTATAAATCCAATCTCTTCTTCTTCTTCTTCTTCTTCTTTTCAGTTTTTCATTGAGCTGTTATTTCTGCCTTCCAGAGAGGGCTGCACTCCTCAGCTGACAGGTTAATCAACTGAGGCTTTAGTTGATTGATCAGCAGGACTGAAATTTAATAGCATACCCAGTTGGGTTTTGATTCCAGTGCATTCCTGTATTAAAGGTTGACTAGCGGCTGACTGTCATCACTTTTCTTTCTAACTACTTAATAGCTTTCAGTTCAGTTTATTGTTACGGTCCTTAGACCAGCCATCACTTGACAGCATTTCTTCTCTTGAAGTCTAACATTAGCTGGCTGTTCCTTCAGTGTGTTAAAAAAGAACCCACTTCAGGATCTGGGGACTCTTTAAATGTATTTAAATCCATTAAAAAGCACGACATAAGTTCCTTAATTGGTTATTTCTTCCAGTCTTCCCTGATGTTGACCAGTTTTCCTTTCTCCTAGTCCCGGGGTATGAAGAAACAGCTCATTGACGACTTCCTGTCCCAGAACAAATTCCTGATGGCCTCCCGGCTCACCAGCCAGAAGCTCTTCCAGGAGCTGTGCCCAGCGAAAAAGTCTCACAGGCAGCGCAAGTAAGACACATAACAAGGATGGCTCCATGTTGCTGGTTTATGAGGTTTCTGCATCAGATCACAGGGCTTAATTGTGCAAAGTCTGAGTCCAGTGACGCCTTTAAGACCAACGAAGTTTAATTCTGCGTATAAACTTTGGGGCGCATGCACGCTTCTTCAGATACCTTTTGTAAGGCTGACAGCCTTCCATTCCATGCGGTGCCTTCCACATTGATCAAAGGGAGAGGGCTGTTCTTAAGATCTTCACCAGTCGGGACTGGCTTTCTAAGCTTGTATTGTACTTTCCTCCAAGCTTCCTATAATTCAGCGCATCTTTGTCATAGTAATTCAGCATTGACAGTAGGAATTGCCTGGCTTTCGAGAGCGTGGGTGTTCATTGATGTCATCCCACACCCAGGGATGAAGGACTGAGAAATATCGTCACCTAGCTCCCCAAGAGCTTTGCTGGTGAAGAGAACTTTACCTTACGTGCAGGACCAACAGAAAGGGTCACACTGGGTTGCTTGAATGGGGGCTTTAGTCGGGGGTGCTGTGGCTCCATGGCAGAGCATCTCTTTCCCATGCAGAAGGTGGCCGGATCAGTTCCCGCACCTCCAGTTTAATAAAAGGATCAGGCAGTAGGTGATGGGAAAGCCCTCTATGACCCCAGAGAGCTGCTGCCAGTCTGAGCAGACAATACTGACCTTGACAGAGGAGTGGTCTGACTCAGTATGTAAGGTGGCTTCGTGTGTAATTCTGCTTCCAAGGCCAGGCCAGTCACTCGTGGAGAAGATCGAGCCTCCCTTGGTTTCTGCCTGCCTCCGACATGGTTCCAACCAGTCCTCTGTGTCAATTGGGAGACCTTAAGCTGTCTTTTCTTGGTGGTGGTCTAGGTACTGTGTGGTCTTGATTACCGGTGAGGGCGACAAGTTTGCTGCGGTCTACGAAGCGTTTCTGGCCTTCGCCATGGCCAACACCAAAGACACCTTGAGATTTGTCCACGTCTATGGAAGCAGCCAGAGGGAGTTTGCCCGGGCTTTACTGCTGGACGACGACAGGTTCTGGGGGAAGTCTGCCGTGAGTGTTCTGCATGTCTGCCCAGCTACATCACTTGCTCTTCCGTTTGGTTTGTAAAATTTGAGCTCAGCTCACCCTGTATCTTTTGGGACTGGTCTCTTAAAGATGCTTATAAATCACATCAAACTGAAATGGGAGAAGACGTGGTGCCCCGAGTATTGCTGGACCCGGCAGTTGTTGTTGAATAAAAGAGAGAGAATCGCAGATGTGAAAACAGCAAAGCGAAACAAAACCCCGTGATTGTATTGAACGAGAAGTATATTACTAGTATGCTGTGAATGTCTATTGCTGTGCTTGTGTATGATGTAATTTTCCATCTATGAGGGCGTAGAGATGTAAAATTTCCAGAAATTTTGAAGCTCGGAAAAAAACCTGGTTTTTTTCCAGTTTTTTTCTGGGGGGAAACAGAAATTTTTGAAAAAAAATCTACATTAGCATTTCTTTTGTCTTTTCTAGATTGAAAGTCATTCCGTTACTTTAGGAACATAAAATATGACTATGGACATTTTTACTTGGCATGAAATTATCACAACTAGCATATTAAAAACAATTATTACAAACAGAATACCCACCCACATGCAAAAACAAAACTGAAACCTTTTTATTTTCTTCTGACAATAGCACTTCCTAAAGGAAGAAATGCATCTTGTTCTTGCATTGGAGAGTTCAGTTTGTAACCTAGGACTTGCTTGTCCTGATACTATATATATATATATATATATCTAGAGAGAGAGAGAAAATTTGGAAAATTGTAACCTAGGACTTGCTTGTCCTGATACTATATATATATATATATTTTCCGGAAAAAAACAAAAAAGACTTCAGGGAAAAAAACAGGGGAAAAAACGTTTTTTTCCCGAATTTTTCCAGTTTTTTTCCGGGCCTTCACATCTCTATGAGGACGCCTTTGCGAAATGGAGAGATTTATGCTGGCAAATTCCGTTGGATGGATTATTACACTTGGAAGATATGAATATGATATATATGAAGCACTAAGCACTGTATACTACTAAGAAGCACTTTAATATTCAGTGGTTGACGACTAAGAATGAAGGCAAACAAATTATATTTGTGAAGCACTTTATTGGGCGCATAGCACAATGGCTGTTGTGTTAGTGAAGCCTTCTGAAGATTGCTGACATTATCTACGGAATGATGTTATCGCTCCTGTTACCTAAGGAATGTTGGCATGAAGCTTAATGAAATATTTTTAAGTCTCATGTAATATACTTCTCATTAAATACAATAACGGGGTTTTGTCTTGCTTTGAAGATGTTGAATCAGCAACCGCTGCATTTCGTTATGTTGAGCAGATGAGACTTAACCTGCCATGCTTTGCAAGTAGTGGGGGAGGTCCAGGTTCGAGTCCCCTCTCAGACAGAAAAGCAGATGGGTCAGTCATGCAATCTCAGCTGACCTTCCTCACAAGGTTGTGGTGATGCTAAAATAGTGGAGTGGGGAAGCTTGCTTGCTACCCTGAACACTTCCCGCCACCAACTGTAATTATTATTATTATTTATTACACTAAGCCTTAATTTCAGTGTTCAAAATCCTCTGTATATGTTATTATAGTCAGGGGTCGTTTCGTAGAAAAAGAGCTAGGGGAACTCATTAGCATAACTCATTAGCATATGCCACACCCCCTGACATCACCGGAAGCGTGTCATAAGGCCACACACCCCGCCCCCAACGGTCCCGGCCGCCACCGCCGGCCTTGCAGCTCCACTGCTGAGCCCCATGACGGGCCCGGCGGTGGACCTGCTAGGCTGGTGGGAGTGCGAGGAAGCCCCGCGAAGGCCCTCCCTGGCCCCAGGCAGGCAGGGGTGGGGAGAGGCAGGGAGGAAGCAACTTACCCTCCCTCTTCTCCTGCCTCCTCCTGGCTGAATGAGGGCCGGAAGCGGGGCGGCCGGAAGTAGGGGGCGGGGCTTCGTCATGTACCCTGCCCCCCGTACCTCACCCGGGGGAACTGCGATCCCCCGCGATCCCCCCCGAAATGACCTCTGATTATAGTAATTCTCAAAACAGACCCAATAAGATAGGCCAGTTGATTATCACCACTAGCATGAGATTCCCGGAGCAAGTCTCGAATTATCCTTGAGGCCGCAGCAGGCCTAAAGTTCCATTCCTTCCTGTTCTGTCTCAAGGCTAGGGATCCCTGCAAACTTGTGTTCCAGGCACCAGGATCAAGGAACACTGCAAGTTCTGAGCGACCCCTCCCCCCCAAGAAACATAAGGAAGTTACCCTGCATTGCTGGGTGTTGCTGGCGGAATGATAATAAGCGTCTTCTTTGTTTTCTTGATCGGCTTTTCAATACGCATGGCCTTCCCCACCAAATTGCTGTCTGGTCCTTTGTCTCTGGTCCAGGTGGTCATCTTGGAGAGGCGCAACAATGCAGGACGGGTGGTCTTTAGAGCTCTGGAAGATCCCTGGAGCGGCAGCAAAGAAGACAACTTCATCCTCCTGGATATCTTGGATCAGTTAAGGACAGACCCCGGATCTCTCTCCTCCGATACGATCCTGACGGACTTGAACGATGAGCTCGCTCCCGTGAGTAACGCTGACAGTTCTAATATACTTCTGTGTGTGTAACTGGGAGAGGGCCCTTGGTGGAGCTGGGATGGTGGTCCTATGAATTCAGCTCCAGAAAACTCTAGATTCTGCGACCGCGGATGAGTTAATGGGCTCCTGACCCCATCTTTGGCATATTTGTTGTGCTTGCAAATATAGAACCACAAGAACTGTACACAGTGCGCTCAATATTTCTTTAACGGAAACCGTAAAGTTGTAAATATGAAATGTACAAAAGTAATAGTAATACATTCAAGTTGTAAGTTCAGATACAAAAAAGATAGAAGATGACAACGACGGGACGGTGGTCTTTGGAATGCGATGCCGTTTCGACGAACGGCTTCTTCTAACCAAGAGTCTATAAGTTGATGATGTATGAAAAATTGCACTTCAGTGGAAAAGCTGCCCAATTCACATGGAGTTCAATAGTTTTTTCCACCTATTTCATTGCATAAGTCATGGAGAAGAACATCTCTCAAACAGAATAAATATTTATTGTGCTGCCAAACCAACACAAGAGTGGTCACTGCTAAACCCTATAGCCCTTGAGGTTGTGTAATCAAACGTGTTCTCTGTAGTTGTGGGCGCAGAGAGGAAAGTGCGCTTTGTGGTGCTAGACATGTCCTTCCTCTTCTGGTGCAGGTTTTCTTTCTCCGCTGGATCTATTCTGCTGTTGACTATCTGTCGGAAAGCTGGGACAGCCTCTTCCACAGCAATTGGTATGGGTTCTGTGCTCCAAATCAAACAGCAGAGGTTGAATTTGCAATTTTTTTTTGTCTTGGGTGCATGATCCATAAAACAGCCCCTGATATTTAAGCCTCTCATGAGGGACCAGAAGGATGCATTCCTTCAAGAAAAAGAGGAGCCAAGCTCTGTCTCCCTTGAGAACTTTCCCAGGTTAAGGACCAGAGGACTGAGCAGGATCAGTCCAGGGGCCCCAGCTTTTTTGGATCACAACTTTGCTACGTTACCACAATTGCAAATTTTACAGAATTTGAAGGGGGGGGGAGTGTTCAGCTACTTTAGGGTAGAGACATTTGATCTCCCCACCCCCTGGAAACACCGCCATCTTTTTGGTTCCTGAACCTTTAATAGGCAACAATTCTTTCTGTAGCACTTGCTACAAGTTGTCACTAGGAGAGCATCTCTCACCCCATCCCTTCCAAACTTCCGGCCTGCTTAGGAGCCCGAGAGGACTGGTTAGGAAGCCTTCACTGTGCCAGGCATCTTCTTCCCACCCTGGCCTCCATTACAAAGAGCAGCTGTGATAGGAAAGGAGGTGAGCGTAGGTGTGAAGTAGCCAGCCCATGCCCAGGAAACCAGCCAAGGTGAGCTGTCAAGGTGGAAGCACGTGGCTCTTGGGAGGTCAAGAGAAGGAAATGGAGATGTTATGAGGAAGGTGGCTTGCAAAGATGCGAAAGGGGACTAATCCCTGAGTTGTCTCCATTTCACCCTGATTTGGAAGCTTGGTCATTCTCCTGCAGGTGGGGCGGGTGAAAGGGAGTTCCCGGACCGAGCGGGGGCAGGCTGTGGGTGCCCTTTTGGGGATGACCTTCACTTGTGGCATCTCTTACAGGCGGGAAATGATGCCCCTCTTATCGCTCATCTTCTCGGCCCTCTTCATTCTTTTTGGGACGGTTATTATTCAAGCTTTCAGGTAAGCAGCCTTTTCTTCTTCCCCCCTCCCCCTTCTCCCTCTTTGCATTTTGATCTCCAGTTCTGAATCAATGTTAATTTCCACTTTTCATTGCTGTTTTGTTTTATTCTTCAGTGACTCGGGCGACGAGAGAGATTCGCCTCCTCCCAAGAAAGACGAACCCCCCTCGAAGAGCGACAGGAACGACACAGGCTTCACCAAAGACAACAGGTGCCCCTGAATATTTCCTCCCATTTCTCCAGGGCGGCCATAAAGAGCCCTAGGCAAGAAGATCCGCGTGTGAGAAGCTAAAACCATTGGTGCTTCTGCCCAGTCCACTGTTGCCGGCCCCGGTTGGCTCACTGGGGTGTTCTGCGTGCCACGACAAAAGATCCTTTCAATGGCAAATGCTAGGATTTGAATCTGGGACTTTCTGTAGGCAAAACGTGTGCACTGTCACTGAAGAGCGACCATGGACATTTAGAGCATGGGTCCGCTACTGTGGGCAGCATTCAACCAGCTCTCCATGGTCCTCCCGAGGCCTGCTACCAGCGGTTCCTTAACAAAGGGCAGTGTCACACACATTGAATAGTGCGCTTTGCAACTGGATTTTACTGTGTAAAATGGCAAAATCATAGAGTTGGAAGGGATCCCATGGGCCATCTAGTCCGGCCCCCTGCACAACGCAGAAAATTCACAGCTGTCTCCACCATTCCCCCCCCCCCATGACCCCTGCTCTATGGCCAGAGGAAGAAAAAAAAGCCTCCAGGATCCCCGGGCCAATCTGGCCTGAAGGAAAACTCCTTCCTGACCCCGAAGTGACGATCAGCATTGCCCAGGCTGTATAACAAAGGACCACAAGAGCCGAGCACTGGCTCAACCCCTACCTGCCTTCCCCCTCACAATCTGCCTAAATTCATAGTAGATTTACTTGCAAATGATCACTAAAGTGCATTATTCAGTACGTTGAAGTGCATTATATGCCCTAAATGTTTCTCTCTAACACAAGTAATGAGCCCACAGATTTGTGGGGGGGGGATGACTGTTCCCTCTAACGATCAGTTCTTAAAACAGGTCCCAGCCTCCTGACCAAGGAAACCAGGAGCTTGTTTATTTATTCCAGGCTTTTAAGACGAAAACCTTGTATCCTTAGCCAAAAACCACAGTGTTGTAATTAAAAGCTTTTATTTAAAATAAATCTAATAATTCACGAAACAATTAAGTAAACAAGAATTACAAACACACAGAACACACAGGTCGGAGAGATTGCAAGTACATGGGCATACATTTCTTGTTTGACCTAACTTGGCTTTAACATTGATTGTAATTTCTAAGATTCTTACCAGAGCCTTTGTAAAAAAAGAGACTTTCTAATAACGGACAGCAAGATCGGGTTTTTGCAGGGTTCTCTCTCCAAGGCTGAAAATTCCAAATTGCTGAAATAGTAAAGAAAAACGCCAGCTTGTAGTTTTGTACAGGCAGCAAAAAAGCAGATTCTCGGATCTTGCTTACCTTAAGCATTCCAAACAGAATATCCTGTTAACCTCAGATCCCACAACTTGGCGGGCCACTGCTTTTTAGCTGGCCCCCAGTTCCGTATGATCCATGCACGACGTCCAGCGTCCTTCTGATTTACAGTTCTTCAGTAATCCCATAAATCGTCGTCCATTCTTTCAGGATTCCCAAGAAAGGCTTTGTTGAAGTGACGGAACTCACCGATATCACCTACATGAGCAACTTGGTGCGCCTGAGGCCCGGGCACATGAACGTGGTGCTGATCCTTTCAAACTCCACAAAAACACCCCTGCTTCAGAAGTTCGCTCTGGAGGTCTACACCTTCACCGGGTGGGTACAGGGCGCTTTTCCCCGCTACAAGTTAATTCCACAGTGCAGAGAAGACAGAATTGTGTTCTTCTCAAGCCTTGGGAGGAAAAAATTGACGGACATGAGTGTGCTCTTGCAACACCCTTCCTGCAGGGCTGAGTATTTATTTATTCATGTATTTAATTCGATTTCTATTCCGCCCTCCCTGCAAGTGTGCTCAGGGCAGATCACAGTAAGATTCTAAAGACAAAAATGGAAGTTTACAGAATAATTAATTTTTTTAAAAAAATAGCATAGATTAAAAAAGAAAAAGGAAAACTAGGTCACGCTATTTCACTGTATACATTATTATCAAGCTGGCGCCATTGGGTCCCTGAGATCTTATTGATCCAGGCCGTGCTGAGGATGTGGGCTTCTGTTTCAGCAGGGGAGGCCAAGTTTTTTATGAGACACCCACTGCCTCAGCCAAAGGCCTCTGGCGGAACAGCTCCACGTTACAGGCCCTGCAGAACGGTAATAAGTCCCGGCAGGGCCTTGATTCTGAACGGGAGCATGTTCCACCAGCTTGGGGCCAGGGCAGAAAAGGCCCCGGCCCTGGTCAGGACTAAGTGGGCATACTTGGAGAGAGAGAGCCACCCCACCCCAATTTGAATATGACTCTGCCACGTTTTCCTCCTGTTTAAGGTCACGGGGCAGGATTCTTTTCCATCCCTTGCGCTCTTCAATCATTCAGTTCTTTATCCGGCCAATGGACCAGTACAAGTCAAGAATAAAAGCTTTAGAATAATGTCATTAGAAACTAAAATTGGTCCGATCTATTGGCAACAGTTAGTTCAAATCTGTACATAAAATATCTCTACGGATTCTACAGGCTACTGAAAAAAAAATCTGGCACAACTGATGGTAACCTGTTGATTAGCACCCATTTAAAAATTTCTTTAAAATATAAACATCGGAACATCCAGGAGAATTGATAAGTAGAGGGGAAATTATATTAGAACGAGCTTTCTGATAGAAGCGGCAGTGGAATAATACATGCTCGACTGACTCCACCCCTTCAGTGCCACTCAGACAAATCCTTTCCTTCATGGGAATCTTTTTATACCTCCCCTCTAAAACTGCAGAGGGGAGGACTCGCCATCTCGCCAGAGTGAAAGCGCTCTGTTGACTGGGTACCTCCAGGACAGAGAGATAAGGTGCCGGGGCAACTGGTTGGTTACTGTGGTGGCTGGTTACTGTACCCATGATGAAAAAACTGAGGCTGAGAAAAAGTGACCGGAACCCAGCACCGGTGACACTTTTCTGAATTTAAAAATCTAGGGTTCTGCGTGTGTGTGCGTGTGTTGCGGGGTTTTTATCCTGTGCACAAGTCGGGGAACAGAGAGAATATGGGCTCGGCTAAGGCTGGTCCAGCCCATCAGAATTAAATACTCTTCTCTGTACAATCCGAAGCGGTGTTAACTCCAGTATAAGCCCATCACACATCACACTTTCTCTCCCACATCCTCTATCCTCACAACAGCCCTACCAAGCAGATCGGGCTGAGTTTGCCGATGGAGCCAGATGTCGCTCAGCAGTGCCCTGAACTCAGATCTGAAATGTCTTACGTATAACCCTCTGCTCTCTAAATCCCACCCGGAGTCCTTGCAAATGACCAGCGGGTACACTTTTAACTTTGCCTTTGTACTGCTCCTTTAGCTCCTTCTTTTCACCGCCTTTCCGCCAAGGCACTGTAGGCAGTTTAGAGAATGGACATAACCAAACGAGAGATGGGAAGAAATCAGAGTGATAAATCAGCAGAGCTCCTTTCAGGAGCCGATGACATGACCTCTCTTTCCAGCAGTGAGTACCGTTTAAGACAGTGAATGGTTTCAAGCAGGGGTCATTTCGTAGAAAAAGAGGTGCAGGAGCTGGTTAGCATAACCTATTTGCATATGCCACACCCCTGACAAAAGGCAGGCATGCAAGGATGCCTGGATTCCCTGCCCAATCTTGGTGCCCCGTGGCTGCGGGGCGCCTGGAGAAGATCAGACAGGGAACCCAGGCATGTTTAAAACGGGCAGGGGATGCCTGAGTTCCCTACTCCTGGGCTTGTTAATCCCGGAATGCCGTTCCTGCTCGTTCCCCCTCAAAATCACCCCTGGTTTCAAGTGTATGTTTGGATGCCTTCCTGCACGTGTGTATTGTTAGGACTTGCATTTCTCCTCTCTTGCTTTTTTCTCTTGCTTGGGGGGACCCACCGATCGACCCCCTCCTTCTCTTCTCTCCACCTCCAGGAGCAGCTGCCTCCACTTCTCCTTCCTCAGCCTGGACAAGCACCGGGAATGGCTGGAGTACGTGCTGGAGTTCGCGCAGGACGCCGCCCCCATCCCGAACCAGTACGACAAACACTTCCTGGAGCGTGACTACACGGGCTACGTCCTGGCCCTGAACGGCCACAAAAAGTACTTCTGCCTCTTCAAGCCTCGCAAGCTGGAGGGGGGCGTGGACCCCCTGGGGCACTGTAATGATCCCAACCTGGCGGAAAGCCAAGGGAAGTCCTCCTCGTGCAGTCCCCGGGCCCGGTTGGTCAAAAGCAAACTCGACCAGCTATCCTTATGGATGGAGAGACTCCTGGAAGGTTCCTTACAGCGGTTTTATATCCCGTCGTGGCCTGCGCTAGACTGAAAAATTAAAGGGTTTTTTGGGGGGGGGCAATAAAAAAAGGATCTTATCACTGCTGCAGACTCTGAAAGAGGACAACCATAAACATCTCGTTTCCGGGAATGACGTCGCGCCGACTAGACGGTAGCTTTTTAGAGAAGGTTCTCCTAGGCCCAGTTGAATTTAGAAGCATCTTCCCCATGTCTTTCAACCCAGGAGCGATGGAAAGAATAAAAAAACAAAAGCACTGGCTTCCGCTCTGGTACCAAAACGGTGCTAACGTCCGGCAGCTAGACAGCCGAAGACAGACAGATCGGGGCCAGCGACGGACTCCCTCGCCTGCTCTCCCAGCCCGCTTCGGTTCTGCCTTGGGGTTTTTCTCCGGCGTAGGTGGAAACGTCTGGCTTCGCTGCTACCGGAGCTTGTTTTTGTGTACTGTTCTTGTTTTTTTAATCCTTTGGTTTTGTGTTTTTACTCAAGTGGAGCCTCGTTCGAAAGCAGTCTGGGCCGCACTGCCCACTCCTCTCCCTACGCTTAGGCTGCGGTGCCTGTTTTGCAGAGAGCTCTCTCTGCCTCTCGCGTCAGGAGTTCTTACCCTTGTGGTTCCCCCCCCCCCTTCCCCCTGGTGGTAAGTGATTTGGAATGTGTTTGGGAGTATCTCCCTTTGTACTAAAAGACTGGTGGGGTTAGGGAAAAAGGGGGGGGGTGGCTAATGCACCTCTGCATGCCCTCCAGGTCCCCTGTGCAATAAAACCCACAACCGGAGTTCACCAGCTAAGCCATCAGGAGGGAGGGAATTGGGGGGGGGGGTCATCCCGGCCGTGAGTACCGTCCGAGACAGCGGGCCATTTCAAGCGTACGTTCCGATGCCTTCCTGAGTGTTCTCTCGGTCTCCTCTTTCCTTTTAAGACTTGTACAGCCATAACCCTGAAACCATGTCTTTAGATTGTAAGGTGTCACTTGTTCTGAGCCCAACAGGTGAAGGGAAAACGTAAACCCCCTCCGTGCGAGTGGCCCTCCACACACTATCTGTGGAACAGCCACGGTTCATCTCTAGGACAGTGATTAAAACCACCCTTCTGTCGTATCAAGGAACTTCAAGACGTCTTGTTGTCTCTCTCTCCGGTTAGGTTAGCTTTAACCGGCATCCAAGAGTTTTCTGCTTTGCAGAAGTTTTATTTTCCTGTCGGGAGGGTACCCCCCCACACACAGCTTGCTCAGTTTCAGCCTCTTTGAAACGGCGGTCTAGGTTTGGCTGTTTGTTTGCACTGAACTGTGAGATGGCTTCTCTGCTGTGGTTTCCAGACAAAACCCACCGCTCAGTATAATCCAGTCTCTCCGGCTGGCTTTGGACTGAGAAACCAGTGCATCCATTCTACAGCCGGTGGTGGTGGAATTCTGGACTAGGATCCCGGATGAGAGAGGAGAGGGAATGTAGCGCCATCCCTGGTGTGCAAGATCACCACATATCGGGTGTTTTGTTCTGTGTGGGGTCCTGTGGGTTGGAGTGGCTCACAGCTTCATTCTTTGCGAGTAGATCGGCTGTCAGCCCTGGACTGACCCATCTGTGCAGCGGGGGGGGGCTGTGTCACTTCAGACCGCGTGGGGTCAGGCTAGCATTTGTGGAATGCTTTTCCCATGTGAAATAAAAATGTCCTGAAGACTAGCACAGCAGGATGCTTTTCTCTCTGCTACACTAGTTCTGACTGCAATCAGCAGGGTATTTTTTTTTTTTTGCTTTAAAGGCCCGTTTTCTGCCGGCAGTCTGAAGTGCAGAATTCTATCACCTCATTTTCTCACAGGTAGAAACCAGATTTTAATGAATAGGGAGGGTACCGTTGGGGGGGGGGGTTGGCTTTCCCATTCCATAAATTTTGGGAAAGAATATTGTAAAATAACAAAGGGCAGCTCCCAACAATTATGCAGCTAGCACTCAAAGAGGCGCGGTGGTATCTGCCGCGTCTGTTAAGCTGGTTTTGTGGACTCTGCCTTCTCCCCCACCCCCACCCCAGCCCCTTACCAGGTTGTACCTGCTCCCCAGGGATCAAGGTTCATGGGAATCCGTGCTTTTTATAGGGGGTCAGGCTGCTCCCTGGGGTGCGGTGCAGCCGTCTTGCTGTAGAATTCTCCCTGGCAGTTTTTAACCCAACTACTCTGGAACAGCCTCTGCAGCAGCAGCAGCAAATATCCTTGTAAGCAGGTCAGGCCAGTCCTGTTCCGAGAGCCAAACCGGAGAGCAAGAAGAGGGCTTTTTAGGAAGGGAGAGATGCTTCAAAGCATCAGTCTGCAGAAACAATGCCCAGACATTCTGGCTCTGTAGAGATCCTGGTGAACAGAGCCAGGTGGATTGAACCAGGTGCCTTGAGGGGCAGCGAAGCTAACCCCGTTGCCGTCTTCGGGCAGAGGGACTCGCATGCCTCAGTCGTAGGCTGCCCTGCCGGCAAAGGAATCGCAGGCACCTTGTAGCGCACGCGCTGCAGTAATGATACAGTGCGCCAGGATCAAGTAAGTGGACTAGTCTGGTTTTCTTCGAAATGAATGTTAGGCTTCTCGGGAGAGGAACCTTGAAGACGGAAGAGCAGCGGCAAGGAGAAGGAATGGGGGAAAGCTCCCAAATGCCGGAAATCAAGAAAGCCTCGATCCATTTGGCGCAGAGTTAGCATGGTGACTTTGTGGAGCCCGCCAGTGTGTGGGCAGGGGAGCTGGCTTGCCCTTTGGCCAGTCACTGCCAGTCAGAGGAGAGGCTCCCGCCAATGCAGCACAGGGAGACGGAGGTTCCTGCAGCCCCAACCCAGACACGGCTTGAAGTGCTTCTCTTCACCTAATGGGGCGGGCTCCCTTCCCCTCCTCATCTCTGCCCACTTCAAGTTTAGGGGGGGGGGCTCCTCCTGTGGGCTCCTGCCCCCCCCCCCCCAGCTCTCCCCTCCCCCCCCCTTGGGCCCCCCCCCCCCCCCCCCAGCTCTGCCCTGCCAGCAGCAGCTGCTACAGCTATTTGTTACTGGCTCACTATCTGGGCAGGGTTACAGCAGTCAGTGGCAGACATCTCTGGGGCGCCGAGGCCCAAGGAATTTTGCAAAGGGAGCCTGCATCCCGCTCTGATGTTTTATCTTATGTGGGTAAGTTGCTCTGTCTGTCTGGGGGGGGGGAGATACTAGGGAGGGCTGGGGGGGCAGTTTGGAGTGCCTGATTTGAACTTGAATGTGGCAGGGAGGAAGGGGGCGATCTGCCCCCCCACACACACACACCTTGCAAAGTGAAGCGCGGCTGCCAGGAACTTAGGAACTCAGGCTCACTTTCCTTTTTGCCAAAAGGTCTGCAAACGTCTGCCAGCTTCACAAATCCATTGACAGGAACTCGTGTTGGTCTGAAAGGGACTGATTTTTCCTTCCCTCTCGGTAATCATATCTCACAGTCTAAAGAGCAAAGTGCTTCTGCTGCGTGTGTCCCAAAGCATACACCTCCCCAAAGAATCTGAAGCGGAGCGTCTTCAGAAGGTGGAGTTTAGCGTCTGGCCCCCCACGTGTGCCGTCATTTGCTTTCCCTTCGCCATAGATGTGATAATCCCCGTAGCTGCCTTACAGCATCCTCTTTTTTTTGTCTTCTGTAAAACCATCACCAGGAACTAGTCCGAACCCACCCAGGTGGGATCGGTTTGAGAAGAAGGCAGAGCATTTTGCACTTTTGATACTCGGGGCGGGGCGGGATAAATAATTTATTGAGCAAAATTGTCTCCTCTTTGGGGGGGTGGTATTGTGAACAGGCACTGATTTTGTTTGTTTTGCTTTTAAGACTTACAGATTCGCAACTGAAATAAACTATTTTAATGTGTGATCAGACGGTGGTTTACAGTGACTCCCTGGCACTTGGGCACATGAGGTTGTCGTGGGCTGTTGTGGAGCCGTGACCGCCAACCTAAATTTCCTGGGTGGGGTGGGGCAAGGAAGCCTCTTGGTACAAATACAACTGCACTAATGAGACATTGCCAATTCCCCCCCAATCCCTTCGGAAATAATGGAGTTCTCTGCCCCTTTCCCCATCTCCTGTATCCCAAATGAATTATGCAAGGTAAGAAGCCTGGCTTGTACACATTTTCACATTTGCTTTTTGTGCAGAATATTACATTCTCAATCAAGGAGGGGACTCGGTTGGTGCTGCAGCTGGCCTCAAGTTTGGGATGCCCGTTCTGTGCCAGGTGTGATTAGGGTTGCCGGCTCTAGGTTGAGAAATTCCTGGAGCTCTTGAGGGTGGAGCCTGGGGAAGGGAGCCCAGCGGAATGTAAGGACACTGAGTTCACCCTCCAGAGCAGCCAAGATAACTGGTCTCTGTGGCCTGGAGATCGGTTGCAGTTCCAGGAGAACTCCACGTCCTCCCTGGCAGTTGGCAGCTTTACTAATGCAACAGGAACCTTAGGGTTTTTCTCAAGGCTGCTTGCAGTGTTTTTCTCTCTGCAGTAATGAGGACTAGGAGAAGTCGTATTTTGAAAAGCTGAGATTGTCAGGGCTGATGTCATAGATACTTGAAGAGGCGGGGGGCTGGCAAAAGGGAAGGTAAAAGGGACCGTATGAAGTCCTAAGGCCAGCTTCCCTTCCGTTTCCGCTGCACGAATGGGAGACTTCCCTGGAACGGCTCACGTCGTCTTCACTCCAGGGAGGACACACAGCATTTCAAAGAGCAGATTAGCTCCCAAGAGAGCTGTGTTACCTGTAAGCAGAGAAAGAGAGAGAAAACCCCATAAACTGGGACTGGAGCATTTCACTCCTTGTTTACATAAGCAAAGTGGCACTATAAAATGCCAATATTAGGGTTATGGGCGAGGCCAGGGACTGTCAGTGGGGGAAATCATACACCTCTAAAGTTCTCGTTCAGTGTGTCGACCAAACACCCTTGGTACTAGCCCCAGAGATTGTGGGAAGGGGGATACGGAGGCTGTGGCCTGGCATTTAGCATGTGACGTGCCTACGTCGGCGGAAGGTGAAATACTGTGGACCGTCCAACTCACCAGAAAGATCGTACATGGGAGCCACTTCAACAAGGTCGCAACCTACGATATTAAGCCCCTGGCAGCCCCGAATGATCTCCAGTGCCTATTTTTGAGAGCAACAGAAAGGGAGTTATCAAATTGGGAAGGGACAGGTGATGGTGGTGGTCTAGTCTCAGAGCTGGCCAGTCAGCCTCAACAACATCTGTAGAGCAGATTCAGCCCCTTGAAATTGTAAGCAAGGGTCCCCAACCTTTCTGAGCCTGCAGGCACATTTGGAATCCTGACACAGCGTAGTGGGCAGCCACAAAATGACTATCACAACTTCACACAGCGAAGAGGCCAAAGCAGCATTTTTAAAAATCCGCACAGCTGATCTAATCTTCAGTAATCGAAAAGCCTTCCTGGCTCCCCCCACTTTCCAAAAACACTTGGTGAGCAGTGTTCCCTCTAAGGTGAATTAGTGTGAGCTAGCTCACAGTTATTTAGCCTACGGCTCAAACATTTTTTGTCTTGGCTCAGGAAGGATGGCTCCAGAGCAAACTAATTTATGCAGCAGCCAAATCGCTCGCTCACAACTTTAATGCCAGCAGCTCACGAAGTAGGATTTTTGGTGAGTGCCAGAAAAGGTGCCGGGGTCTTCATAGAGCCCCTGGGTACCACACGGGAGACCCCAATATACAAGATGGCTGGCTTATAAATCTGCATCGGCAGTCTTTCTTTTACCTGGGCAGGAGTAAGGCCGGCAATTTCTGGTGTCCCGGTGCCCGGAGCATAGGCGGGGTCTATTCCGTCGATATCGAAGCTGATATAGACAGGCCGGTCTCCCATCTGCTTCCTCACTTCGGCCATCAAAGGGACCAGTGACTTCATCCAGCAGTCCTCTGCTAAGACCACCCGGAAGCCCTGTTGGAAATGAGAACGGGAAAGCTTTTGAAGTGGAACTCCCGGGCCACCTCGCACATGGGTGAGAGGTCTCCAGTCTCTTCGACAGCATGCGTGAATCGCCCCTCCTGCCCACAGCGGATCCAATGTGGCACATGATCTCTGCTCAGTAGGATACAACAAGAGTAGGTGGCGTGTGTGCTAATCTCAGGGAAGCCAAGATTTCTCCCCATCTTGGATTGTTGGTCACTGTAGCCGGAAGGAGACTCTTGGGATAAGTCTCTCTGGGCCGAAGCTGCAAAAGGCAGGCTTAGTTGCTATAGGGTTGGAAGGAATGTTCCATTGGTGGTCTTCCCTCTCCCACCCCTCATGCAGTCCTAAATCTCTCCTTTCTATTCGCCACTACTTTCAAGTACTCAATCGGTTGGGAAGCCATGGTGCTATGCCTCCATCCATGCCAATTTCTCACAGATGGAAAGGAGGATATTTGGCTTGAGCTCCTGGAATCTGCATTCTTCCCACTTCCCCTAAACATGAATTTACTTTCCAGTAACCTGTCCTTTCATATGTTGGTAGATTTAATAGTTCAAAATGAGCCTCACTGAGCTGCGGCAAGGAGAAGGGCTATTCATATAATTCTACAAATGTACACTAGGGTCAGTCATAGAAGCATAGAATCTTAGCGTTGGAAGGGACCTCCAGGGTCATCTAATCCAACCCCCTGCACAATGCAGGAAATTCACAAATACCTCCCCTTACGCCCCCAGTGACCGCTGTTCCATGCCCTGAAGATGACAAAACCCCTCCAGGATCCCCGGGCAAACTGACCTGGAGAAAATTGCTTCCTGACCCCAAAGTGGCAATCGGTATTTCCCTGACTATGTAAGAAAGGGCCACAGGAATGCACTGATGCAACCCTTCCTGCCCTCCCTCTCAGTCAGTCCCACTGAAAGATTTAAGGCCTGCATCTGAAACAATGAAGACAGCCCTAGCAGACACTGGAATAGGATTGCCAATGCTGGGTTGGGAAATTCCTGAAGATTTGGGGGGTGGAGCCTCTGGGGAGGGTCCTCAGTAGGGCATAATGCCATCGAGCCCACCCTCCAAAGCAGCCATTTTCTCCGGGGGGAACTGATATTGACTATCTGGAGATCAACTGTAATAGCGGGAGATCTCCAGGGGTCACCTGGAAGCTGGCAACCCTATATTCAGGGCCCATCTGGAAGATGGCAACCTTAGGCACAAAGAAGATCCTGAGAAGAGCACTGGATCTAGGCAGGACTCTATAGGGGTGGAGGCAGACAGGCCTTTAATCCCCGCTCATGTATCGGCCCGAACTGGAACCCTTGGAGGTGTACGGGGCTGTAAGAATAGTAAGGGTGCGGCTCCTGGAACCCTGAAAAACCACCAGAAATGCTACATAGGGTGAGGATAATTATGGGGGTTGGGGTGTTACCTGATCCCAACAATATTTGTAAGGATCTCGCGTGTAGGAGGATCCTCGGATCCCAATCTGAGCCACCCGTTTGCAGTCCAGGAGCCCTTCCTCCATACAGCGTCGGAACGGTGTCCCATGGTAGATCTTTTCCCCCAGCGCTTGGTCTCCTGTGTCCGTGTGGGCATCCACGTGCACCAGCCCCACAGGACCGTGCCTGAGAGACAGTGAGAGAGATGCCAGGGACACGCAAGAGACAATAAACCCCCGAGCTTCACTTCCCCCCCCCAAATAATTGGGGTACACAGAGGTTGATTCGGGGGGATCGCGGGGGATCACAGTTCCCCCGGGTGAGGTGCAGGGGGGCGGGGCACACAATTAAGCCCCGCCCCCTTCTTCCGGCCGCCCCCTGCTTCCAGCCTCAGAAGGAGGAAGAAGCAGGAGGGTAAGTTGGCGTCCTCCCCCTCTGCCTGGCTGAGGCCACTCCGCAAGGACTCCCAGCCCCATCCGGGAGCTTCCCCGAGGTAGCTGTGTTAGTCTGTTGCTGCAAAATAGTCCAAGAGTTCAAATAGCACCTTTAAGACTAACAAATAGCACCTTTAAGACTAACCTTTAAGACTAAGACTGAGTGGTGGGTGTGGCCTTATGACACACTTCCGGTGATGGCAGGGGGTGTGGCCTTATGACACACTTCCGGTGATGGCAGGGGGTGTGGCATATGCTAATGAGTTATGCGAATGAGTTATGCTAATGAGTTCCCCTAGCTCTTTTTCTACGAAACGACCCCTGGGGGTACATAACATTGAGCCACTGAGCACACACAGTCTGTTGGTTCAACAGGTGTCATCCTTGAGTTTCCTGCTGCAACCCTTGGGCATCTCTATTCTGTAAGGCCCCTGGTGTGAGAAGTACCCAGTTGGCACAGAAAGGACAAAAAAGGGATGGAGGAGAGAAAACAAAACAAAACAAAAAGACATAGAACCTAGAAGGTTAAATGAATCCAAATTAAGGGGTGCAGTCTTAAAATAGCTAAATATAGAACATAAATACATTTCAAACATAAAGCCTCTGTTTGAGATTATTGTATGATTTTAATCTGAACTGAGGCTATATGTGGGCCTGTAAGTGTTTTTGGACTATTTTGTAATGAATACATGGGCTTTTTTCTATAATTGATACAAAAATTCTATATAATTCTAGGTCCGTAACCCAATTGGCACAGCCAGCTGCTTCAGCTCTGGGAAGCCCATAGTGTTGCCAACTCCAGGCTGGAAATTTCTTGGTAATTACAGAGTGGCGTTTGGGAAGAGCAGGGTTCGGGGAGGAGAGGAGAGGGACCTCAGCCTTTGAGTCCGCCCTCCAAAGCAGCTGTTTCCTCCAGGGGGAATTGACCTCTGTAGTCTGGAATGAATGCGGAGATCAGTTGTAATTCTGAGAGATGGCTGAACTCAACCTGGATTTTACCAACCACAGCCAATAGAACTACAGAAGAATAAATGTCATGTTGAAGACGGAGGGCAGCGTGATCCAGTGTGCACGGAGAAGAGTGTGCTGCTGGGGGCCTAAGTACCAATATTTTGTTTGGACCATAAGCACATGAAGCTGCCTTATACTGAATCAGACCTTGGTCCATCAAAGTCAGTACTGTCTACCCAGACTGGCAACAGCTCTTCAGGCAGAGGTCTTTCTCATCACCTGCTGCCTGGTGCTTTTAACCGGCGATGCTGGGGATTGAACCTGCAACATCGTGCATGCAAAGCAGAGGCTATTTCGCTCAGCCACAGCCCCTCCCCATAGCCAAGAGCTTGGATGCTACCGGTTTCTTCTGCTTCTGCAGTGTTCGTCTCCCTCTCTCTCCGGAGCTAGGAGCTTTCTACCCTTACCTGAAAACATATGGTGGCCATCGTCTAGCAGGGGCCTGGAGTCCTCCCGGAATTATAACTGATCTCCAGCCTACGGAGATCCGTTCCCCCGGAGAAAATGGCAGTGAAGGAGGGCAGACTGTGTGGTATTACATCCCGAGTGAGCTCTGTCCCGTCCCCAAACACCACCCCTCCCAGGGGCCACCTCCAAACATCCAGGAATTCCCAATCCCGACACGGCAACCTTAACTTTCCCAAATACCTCTTCAGCAGAAGGTGTGCTTCAGAAATGAGTCAGGATCCAAGCCAAAACCCACAGAGAAATGGAGGGGGGGGGACTGGCTGTACAAGCGAGAATTATGACTCCGGTGAGGTAAAACCACCCACAGTGCCCCCAGCTGTGGGCTTTGCACAAAGCTTCCTGTGCCGACAGGTTAGCGTGTCAGACCGGGTCCCTCTCAGGAAGACCCAGGATCAAACATCCATCCAGCCATGAAGCTTGGCAATCATTCCTTCTCGACCTAACCTACCTCACAGGACTGTTGTTGTAGAAAAAGCCCAGCAGGGACTCATTAGCATAATAGGCCACACCCAACAGCAGAAACCCATTAGCATGTTAGGCCACACCCTGACACTGCAGCTCATTTGCATATTAGGCAACACTCCCACGCCTTCCCTTGGCAAGCTGGCCCTTGGACAGGCCAGGGAAGGCACGAAGAGGCATTTAAATATCTACCCGATCCTTCCAGAGCCCCCCTGGCCCGCCTGCCTTGGGGTCGCCGGGGGGGGGGTGTCGCTCTCTAGGCCTTCCCACTCAGAGGTTTTGGCTGTAGTGGGCGTGGGCAACTCTGAAGCCAGCCGGAACTCCATTCCTGTGCGTTCCTGCCCAAAAATAGCCCTGGTTGTGAGCATAAAACGGGAAAGGAGACCTATATACGCCACTCTGAGTTCATTGGCAGAAGAGTGAGATAAAAAGGTGGTGGGTGGGTGGATGGATAGGTCTTTGTGAGCTGTTGGCATCCTCATCTTGGACCCTGAGAAGGACTGATTGAGCCCTAGAATCCTTTTTACTTTAAGTGCAATGCTGTGCATCTTTTGTTTTTTGGGGGGGTATTTTGTGGGTGTGCTTGTGTGCCTGGAAGTCATGGTTAACTTCTGGCAACCCCTAGTGGGGCTAGGACGTTTCAGAGAGGTGGCTTGGTATTGTCTGCCTCTGCGTCCCGGCCCTCGTATTTTTTGGAGGTCTGCCATCCAAGTACTTGCCAGGGTCGGCCCTGCTTAGCTTCCGAGGTCGGGCTTGCCTGGGCTAACCAGGTCAGGGCGGCGTCTTGAGCCCATCACTGCAAAGTGGCCACCCCTCATTGTGACTCACTTTTCTGCAACAGCCTGCAGGATGGGGTACGTTATCGTGTGGTCTCCCCCTGCAAGAGAAACGACGATGTGACAATGCCTGTCTTGCAAGCAGGGCCTCTCTCCCTTCACTGCTTTTTATTTATTCATTGCCCTTGAGTCGCGGCTGACTTACAGTCAGGGGTCATTTCCTGCAGGAGCGCACAGGAGCGGAGCTCCGGCAGTAAAGAGCCCAGGGGGCGGGCACATGCAGCAAGCCCCCTACTCCCAGCAGTTGGGCCACAAGGAGTGAGAAGCAGGGAGGGAAGTTGCAGAGCCAATCCCCCGCCTTTCCCGGCAAACTTGGTCTTAAAGGTGCCACTGGACTATTTTGGACCGGGGGACTGGTGGGGGCTCTGCAACTTACCTGGCTGCTTCTTGCTCTGAGGGCTGCTGGGAGCAGGGGGGGGGACTTGTTGCATGTGCCTGCCCCCTGGGCTCATTACTGCCGGAGCTCCGCTCCTGTGCACTCCTGCAGGAAATTACCCCTGGGCATACTAACCTTTCCTAATTGTGTTTACTCTTCTGCCACTGTCCCTTTTGAAATGTAGATTGTGTTCTCAGGGTCAATTTCCTTCCTTCCATTAACTCTCTCAGATGAAGCTGCCCCTTCTCTCTGCACACACCAAGAGGGACGACGTGCTTTCCTCCCTTGGCGCCACAAATTGCTGAGCGGTCGGGTTAGAACGGATAAAAGGAAGTCCTTCTTCACCCAAAGAGTGATTAACACATGGAATTCACTGCCACAGGAAGTGGTGGCGGCTACAAGCATGGACGGCTTCAAAAGGGAATTAGATAGCAGAGGTCCATCAGTGGCTATTAGCCACAAGGCATAGATAGGGGCTCTGGGGCACGTGATGCTCTGTCTTCTTGGTGCTTGGGGGGGGTCAACAGTGGGAGGGCTTCTAATGTCCTGGCCCCACTGGTGGATCTCCTGATGGCACCTGGTATTTTTGCCCACTGTGTGACAGAGTGTTGGACTGGATGGGCCTTTGGCCTGATCCAACATTGGCGTCTCTTATGTTCTTATGGCCCTCTCACCATCTGCTTCCATCCTTAGCTCGTAAGTTAGTACTCTATCTTGTCCCTATTCTTCCCTATCCAAAACAGTACTTCTCAAAGAAAGAGAGAAGTATTTCTTTGTTAAACTTACAACATGGCTCTGTGTAGCTCTGTAAACTGGGTAACGCTGCTGCATTTGTAGCTTTAAGCACTCTGCTAACTAGGGGCAACTGAACTAGCTACACCAGTTAACCCCAACGCTTACCCATCGTGAGGGGGATGCAGCCACCCGCCACTATCGTCTGGAAGGCTTCTCGGATTTGCCGGCAGCTGTCCTTCAAGTCGTACAGGTTGACATTCACGTCCCCGATATCAGCGACCATCAGAGAATGATAAGGATCTGCTCCGGTGCTCGGGTTGAATCGCCTCACCATTGCTGATTCGGCTCGAATATGGCGAGGGCCAAACCTGGAAGAAAGTCAGTCTTTGGTCATGCTGGAAGCATCTGATTGCAGTGTTTATGCCACAGGTTGGGCCTTCCTGGCCATTTCCTCCACCATATGGTTGATACCAAGAATTTCCTGGTGGGCACAGTGGAAGCCACCAGGCTGAGATGCAGAGCTGTTCAGATTTGGACCGCAACATGTAGAAAGTCTTTCCCCTGCACCGTTTTACTGACCTGAAACAGGCCCACAGAGCTGCTAATTGTCCCTGTGGAAAATTTATGTGTAAGCCATCAGTACATGTGAGGTGGGTTTTTTCTCCAGTGGGGCAAGTAGAAGTTCCCTGGGGCTATTTCAAATTGGGGAAACAGACCAAGGGAACACAGGCATCGGCCTCATACTGAATCAGTACCCTTGGTCCATCAAGGTCAGTATTGTCTACTCAGACTGGCAGTGGCTTTCCAGGGTCTGAGGCAGAGGTCATTCACATCACCTCCTATCTGGTCCTTTTAGCTGGAGATGCCAGGGATTGAACCTGGGACCTTCTGCATGCTAAGCAGATCCTCTACCACTGAGCCATGGGAGAGGGCTTGTATAGAAAAATTGCTTTCTGCTTTCTATATCCACATGCCTTCTCCTGTGATTACATTGTGATAACATGCTGTGTCTTAGTTCCTGTTGCAAGCCAAATGGTGAGGCCACATGGCCTCAATAGCCGTGCCATAAACCCACATTCTTTCACACCTTCATGCCAAAAGCCAGACCTCATGGCTACACTTTCTGGCCCACATGAGACTAGTCATGTAGGCCATGAAGTACCTGGAAACTAGGTCAATTGCTTGCAGGAGGGGCCACAAACTTATAGCCTATCCCCACACGCAGCTATGGCAACCAGAAATTGGCCACACACCCCTGCTACTCTGATTGGCCAAAGGCCACGGCTAATTGTGATTAGTAATTGGGGTATAATTGTTTGATCCCTATGGGAGTGAGTTGCTAATGTGTTCTGTCCCAGATGCCAACTAAGGGTTTGGAATCTCTCCCTTGGGAAAAGCAGGGACTAGTGAAAAGAGGTTCTGGTGGCAACATTGTCTGGAAACCAGAGAGGGTACAGCCTACCTCTTGGTTTGTTGTTTAATGTACCGAAAAGTACAGGGTTCCCTCTCATCCCTGGCCTGGCCTGAGTGGGCTAATCCTGTACAGGGCTTAAGACCGGTCTCTCCATGGCCCTGATCTAAACTAAGCCCCTGCGCAACTTAAAATTAAGTTCTAAAACTGCCATATTCAGAACTTGTGGTTTGAAAGGGACTCGGGAACAATGTAACACAGAAGGCCAAACGAGATGAGACACAGTCCTCGGGTTTATCGCAATAACCGCAAGACGACTTCCTCTTGTGAGAATTTGGCCACCCTTTTTGTTGTCATGGTAACGAACAACTGAAAATGGTGGCCAGACTCTCGTAAGAAGATGGAAACTCTCAAAAGCTTGCAAACAGGTGACCCCAGTTGGCCGCAGTGCTTTACAAGAGGCCTGAGGGAGCCCCCTTGCAGGTGTGTTGTTTTGAAAGAGAGGTGGGCTAGCAAAGAGAAAAAAGAGGGTCCTCTCCTCTGGCTCCTGGTGGGGCTGGCAGGAGCAGTGGCGAAGCACAGTGTATGTGTGTGGGGGGGAGAGGCAAAAGAGCAAGAGATTGACACGTAAACGATATTTGACTTACTGAAAATATACAGTCTACCACTACTGATAACAACATGTTGGTTAATACGCCATAAAGTTTATGCAGCCCAAACACTGGGGTTGCAGAACACTGCCCTCCAACATGCCTTAAAGATCTCATTTTCTTTTCAAAAATCTGTATTTGGTTCTGTGCTGAGCCACATTTGGCTATGGTAGTCTCCGTTATCTTAGATTACATAAGAACTCTGTCACACAGTGGCCAAAAATACCAGGTGCCATCAGGAGGTCCACCAGTGCGGCCAGGACACTAGAAGCCCTCCCACTGTTGAACCCCCCCCCCAAGCACCAAGATGACAGAGCATCACTTGCTCCAGAGTCCCCATCTATACCTTGTGGCTAATAGCCACTGATGGACCTCTGCTCTATATGCTTATCTAATTCCCTTTTGAAGCCGTCCATGCTTGTAGCCGCCGCCACTTCCTGTGGCAGTGAATTCCAAGTGTTAATCACTCTTTGGGTGAAGAAGTACTTCCTTTTATCCATTCTAACCTGACCGCTCAGCAATTTCATGGAATGCCCACGAGTTCTTGTATTGTGAGAAAGGGAGAAAAGTACCTTTTCCTCTACCTGTTCATTCCCATGCATAATCTTGTAAACCTCAATCATGTAATTTATTGTGTACAATAAATTGCTCACAAGAGGGACAAGCTGTCCCAACCACATCAAAATTTTGCATCGTGCTGATCCAGAGAGGGCCACAGCACCTGCACATACGAAACCATACTGACCCGCCTTGCTGGATTCAGGTGTTTGTTTACAGGTGGTATTTTCCTGTGGATTCAACGGGTGGGCTCAGGGTGGATCCCGGGGTTCACAGCTCCCTGAGCAAACATTGATGGAGGGGCTCTGGCCCAGTGGCAGAACATCTGCTTTGCATGCAAAAGATCCCAGGTTCAATCCCCGGCATCTCCAGTTAAGGAGGACAAGGCAGTAGGTGATACGACTCTGGAAAGCCACAGCCAGTCTGAGTAGACAAGACTGACCCTGACGGACCAAGGGTCTGATTCAGTAGAAGGCAGCTTCGTATGCTCTGTGTCCCTGGTGCCCAGTACAACAAACCCCCCCCCCATGCTTACCTGGCTCCGGGACGGTTGGAGGTGCCTGTGTCCAGGGGGACCCCCACAAAAGCAGCATCAAGACCCTCCGCCGAAGTCCGGATGGGCAGCTTGAAGAGGGAACATACCCCCACCGGTCTAGCCACAAACTCAGCGCTGGGAGGTATGTTGAAGTCAGAGAAGAAGTGCCGTGGGGCAAACCTCTCGGAGGAGACGCTTTTCAAGCAGAATCGACTGCGAGCTCCTGGAAGTGAGCCAGGCCAGGCCGAACCAGCCGCAGCCCTAACTTGCTGGCTAGTTTGGCTGCAGGGAGACTCAAGCCTGCCTGCCAGAAACGTTCCGGGGAGTCTCCAAGCGCCGAGAAAGGAGCTCTTTTTGCGAACCAGCATCCGAAACTGGGTTTTGCACCCCAACAAACGGAGGGCCTCCATTCTGCAAGGGGGGTGGTACGATTAGGTACTAAAGCAGCAACCGCTTGACCGTGTTAAAGGCACAGCTGTCCCTCCCAGGAGGGAAATGCTGCTGCGCCACCACCCCTTGGTTCTGGCTTGTCACCTCGTTGACAGGTTCAAAGGGCAAAACCATTGTACACAAATGGAACTTTTATACCAGGACTCCAGCTTCAGGACCAATCATTTATCTTCGTTTGCTCTCTTTGAAACAGGGCTTCGGAAACTCTTCTATTTTTCTCCAGCCTCAGCGGGATCCAGAACCAGCCGCATGCAGCCGCTGCAGTTAAAAATCTTGTTCAGCTGTGTCTGATGCATGCCAACAGCTGCAAGCCCGTCTGGGTCTGCAGCAAGGCTCTCTCTAAGCTGTGGAGTCTTGTGAGCAAAAATTCTACTTGGTGAGCTACTGGCATTAAAGTTGTGAGCGAGCGATTTGGCTGCTGCATAAATTAGTTCGCTCTGGAGCCATCCTTCCTGAGCCAAGACAAAAATGTGTGAGCCGGAGGCTAAAAAACTGTGAGCCGGCTCACACTAACTCGGCTTAGAGGGAACAGTGGTCTGCAGCAGCTTGCACACGAACATTCGGGCACATCATCATCGGAACTGTCAGCTGCTACCACTGCCAGCATCATAGAGTTACTATGCTGCTACCGGTAGAATGGGGTGTGTGTCCATAAAGATTTGCCAAAAAATCTATCCCTCTCCAGGGCCCCGAATCCCTTCTCTCTTTTCCTGCCTCTTTATTTTATTTCAATTCATACCCTGCCCTGCCTGCCGAAGCAGGCTCAGGGCGGCTTTCCAAACTCTTTCCAATCCACCCAGTTGCCTGGTTCCCTCCACAAACCCCAGCCAATACCTACGGGTCGCTTTCACTTTTTGCAATGGTAGCTTGCATGCAATTACCTGACCCGCTCCCACCACCATCCATGTGGCGGGGGGGGGGGGATCAATTTCACCTACAATGCAGGTGCAAAAGTTGCTTGGCTGAACGCTCGAGTTTGATGCCAAAGAGTAAAGGCACGGTGGGCTCAATCTAAAGCTTGGCTCTCGAGGGATAATCACGGCCAAATGGTTTTGCCGTGAAATTCCCAGCATCCCTCACACCATCACCAGGTTTCAGGAGCAGACTGGGAAGTGGGAAGTGTTGGAAATGTGTGACTTACAAGGTCTAGATTCCAGTCATTATAGAGTTAATCTGTTTTACCTTCTGTGCTATTGTTTAGACTGACCTGGAAGGAAACCTGGCACAGAGCCAATGTAAGCAAGGCCTGCCGAAACTGAGTAACATTGATTGGGTAATGCAATCAGGTGACTTCCTTCTAGGGGTCAAGAAGGAGAATCTCCATTGTTGTGTGACCATGTGTTCTGCCCTGTAAGGATGTAAAAATGTAGCTCTAGATATCTCTTTTATTTTGTAGCTTTCCACGTGAACCCTTCCCTTAGAAATAAAGATTTTTACGTAGAAAAGAAACGTCTCCTCTCCAGTGAAGCAAAGATCCATTGGAAACTCTTGAGTATTTAAGTATGTTTTACTATTTTCCCAACAAAAAGAGCCCTGGAACAGGTCCGCCTGGGCAGCCCCTGCGAGCCAGCCCTTCAGGGGCCACTGAACTCAGTGGCACCGACAGCGGCTCAGCCTTTGCCTCATCCCACAAAATGGCACCAGGGAAGGAGGAAAGGACTGTTGCACTGACACCGATTCCCTTTCCACCAGGCACAGTCCACATGTTTTTCAGTTTATGATTCAATAACTTGATTTTAAGTGAAAGCTGAGATTTTCTGGAATTCTCTGTCCCCAGTACTGAAGCTGATGTGCGTGCATCTCTACTGTGTACCACCATGCATTCAGCAACTGGAAACATCTGCCCAGACTTCCCCTCACCCACCCATGAAGCACAGTGCGAAGGCCTTGGTGGGACCAGCAGCTTCACTGTTCCGCCTGGAGCACCCGTTTGCCCTACTGAAGAATGATTTATTAAAAGAACGCATTATAATTTGTGACACTGCAGCTGCCAATGGGAAAATGGGAGCTGATTTTAGAACGTGAACTTTTCTGGTGTCTCTCTGTGTGTGTTTTAAGCTGGAGTGACAGGTGTCCTTCTTTGCAACGTGGAAAGGCTAGCTCCAAACTTCACCACACACACACACCGTCCCACACCTATACACACACCAGCCCAGTTCTGCTCACACAAAATTCCTCTTGGTTCAGAATGGATTTGTTAAAACTTAACACAATCCTGGGGAGGGGGGGGGGATCTCCCTCATTATTATGCCTAACGCAGTACGGAATAACTTAACAAGTTATTTATTTAAGGACAGTGCTCTTTATAGCCAGGCAAAAGGTTCTGAACGAAACACACACAATGTTTGATCAAAGGAAGCAAAGGAAAGCAACTGTCCTCATTCAACTCCCAAGCTTCAGACGTTAAAAGATACAGAAATTTGATGTAAGGTTCTAGAACTTTCGGTCAGGAAGTCACTGAATTTCCCAGTCCTTTCTTGGAGGCCCCAACTAGAATCATGGCAGCCCCCTCCCATCTATTAAGGAAGACCGTCTGAGGTTAAGCCGATCAGAGATGAGACTTGGCCTGGGGTGTGCCTCAGAAACTGCCCTCCTTCAGGGCACGATCATTCCAATTCCAAAACAGAACGGAGTCCTCAGATCCTCTCAAGCACAAGAGAATGGGAGGTTTTATTGAGCTAAGAGGCTGAAATAATTAACTTCCACAACAACCGGCAATAAAACACCTCACGGTTCACGAGCTATGAGGTCTACTCTAATGAGACTGTCGCCAGAAGCACTCTCCCCACTGGCTAATGATTAAAAACTCTAAAGCGACTAATTCGTAGAACATCAAGACCTCTGTATCTTCTTAGGATGAGAAATGATTATTTTGGCTTGCTGGGATGCCAAAGCTTAGTGGAGTATTCTCCACCAAATGCTGAGTCTCCCCTCTTCTCTCTCTCTTTCTTTTTCTTCCTTCCTTCCTTCCCTTCCTTCCTCTTCTCTTGTATCCCTTCCTGAAGACTTGAATAACTGTTCACACTGTCAGCTGAACTGGGACGGATCTCACGGGCCAACCTGCCTCCAGGGAGGTACACAACACTCCCAACACATGACACCACTACACTACCATGTGATGGCTGCCGTCATCACATCAACTGGCTCCTCAAGTGTGTGAGTGAGAGAGATAAATAGTGTTGCTTCCCAGAAATCAATTCGATGGAGCCCCGTGGAATTTCCTATGCTGCTCAACGTCATTATTATTATTTTAAGACATTTCTAAAGCGCTGCTGTGATAATGTCTGAGGGCCCCATTCAGAAATATAAATGGACAAAAAGATTTAATGAAGGAATGCACCAAACACTCTGTCTTTTCAGAACAATTATAATAACAATAATCTCATGCCACTGTACAGCCAGGAGATTCAAAGATTGTCTGGCAGCCGACAGTTCTAGCTCTTATAGCGTTATGCGCCACTAGGTGGCGAGCTAGATTTTTTGGGGGGCTGAGAGCTCTGAAAGAGCTGTGCCTTACCCAAGGTCACCCAGCTGGCTTCAAGTGGAGGAGTTCAGAATCGAACCCAGTTCTCCAGATTAGGGTCTGCCACTCTTAACCACTAGAGCAGGCTGTCTTTTCAAAGATGGGGAGTGATGGATCTAGTCCCCCTCCTCACCCATAGCTCTTTCCCCTTCTGCCCCTTGGGGGTGTGCAGCTCACACCCGCAAAAAGCAGAATGACTAAACAGTCCAGTCCGTCTTCGGCCCTTAAGAGTGGGCAGCTGACTCCTGTCTCCCACGTAGTTGACATTCCCTCCTGCTGCCACCTCCCTTTTTTCTTTTCAGGGTGCAGTTTAGCTCACTGGGAAGGGTCCAGTTTCAAGTGTGAGGTTGGAAGGAACCTTCCTAGCTAGTGGTCTGCACATGAGCTGGGACTGAAACGCAGTAAGTTGGCTGCTAAGGATTCCCTCTAAGCCAGCAAGATCCACTGTTTCAAACCGGGTCTGCTGTTGGGAAAGTGAGATTCTTTTTAAGAAAGGAGCTAACCTGCATGCAGGACATTGATCAAATCCACGTGGGGTTCGGTACGACGGGCTCCCAGTACTTCAGAAACAAATCCTGGGGAGGAAACACTGGTTTGTAAATGCGCCAAAGCGGTTTGATAACATCCAGAGGTCTAAGAGATTTTTGGATTTGTCGCTGTCGTCCATGGACACAAATTAATCTTTTGAATAAATGACATCTGCAGAGCTTTGTTATCTTCACCCCGCTACCCAGAAACTCTGAGCTATGGCTTTGCTTTGAAAAGGACATACGCAGTGAGGTCCTCCTGGTTTAAAAGCAGCAGCAATATGAAATAAATCACCCAGTCTGACAGCCAAACGGAGAAGGTAGAGTGATGATTTCGGTGGGTGAACCTAACCTGCGCCTACAATAACCCCGGAAGCGGCTTCTCACCTAAAATACCCCTAGGCTACCAAAATAAAAGGAGCCTCGGCCAGGTATGTGCTTTTAGTGAAACAACAAGGGACTACACCAAAGGCTCAAAGGGAAGCAGACTGGAGCTCATCCCGCCAGCACGTTTCTCCAGGAGAGAAGCAAAACCGCCGCCTCCCAGAGATCTTCGTACTCCAGGTTTGCCAAGAAGCATCTCTTCAGCTTGGTTTCGGCCCGGTTTCCATCTCCGAGTCCGTCCATCAACAAGGTGGCTGCTGATTGGTGAAGAAGCCAGCTAATCATCTTGTCAAGTTGCAGGTCCTTGAGGCTGAGTAGGCCTTCACCCCACAGGCTCAGGTGAAGCACGTTGGCCGCAACTCTGGCTGAGAGCCTCTGAAAGAGAAGAAACAGAAGAAGAATGGATCTAACTGCTGGGCTCTCTGCCTTCCCTTCTCCAGCCTCCCCACCATTGCGGGGGGGGGGGGGGGCGGGGGGGAGGTTAGGATGCAGGACCACAATTGGGGAGACCCAGAGTCAAGTTCCTTGTTTGGCCCTCAAGCTGGCTGGGTGATCTTGGGCCAGTCACTCTCTCACTACCTTACAGGAGGGTTGCTGTGAGGATAAAGGGGAGGAGAGGAGAGGAATACCTGCTTCCCTGAGCACCTGAGAGGAAAGGGCAGAATGAAAACAGGAAGAATAAATAAGCGTAATGTTATTCGGGCAGGAGCCTTTGTTTTCTGCACTCTGAGTGACTGCTCATGTGGAGGAGAAGAAGAAGAGAAGAGACTGGATTTACACTCTGCCCTTCACTCAGAGTCTCAGAGCGGCTTATAATCCCTTTCCCTTCCCCTCACCACAACAGACCCTATCAGGTAGGTGGGGTTGAGAGAGCTCTTTCGAGAACTGCTTTTGAGAGAACAGCTCTGAGAGAACTTATGACTGACCCAACGTCACCTAGCAGCTGCATGTGGAGAAGTGGGGAATAAAACCCGGTCCTCCAGATTAGAGTCCGCGCTCCTAACCACTACACCAAACTAGCTCTCTGGAGGAGGCACCTCCAGTTGGGGAACATCTTGGGAGGACACTCACACAAAGAACCGGCTCACAGATGCACATTTGGCACATGGGCATTGCAACATGCATCTGACGATGCAGGCCACTCCAAAGAGAGCCACTACCTAGTTTGGTGTCGCAGACTCTGATCTGGGAGAACCGGGTTTGATTCCCCACACCTCCGCTTGCAGCTGCTGGATGACCTTGGGCAAGCCCTAGTCCTGTCAGAGCTGTCATTGAAAGGGCAGTCCTCGAAAGAGCTCTCAGCCCCACCTACCTCACAGGGTGTCTGTTATGGGAAGGGGAAGGGAAAGGAGTTTGTGAGCCGCTCTGAGACTCCGAGTGAAGGGAAGGGTAGAAATCCAATCTCTTCTTCTCACTCTTCAATCTCTTCTTGCATTAAAAGAGCTTGAAGGTCAATGAGAGTGACTCTCTGGCCCAGGCTGCCCTAGCCTTATTGAGTCCGTGGGCACTTTTGGATTTTTAGAAGCGATAGCGAGTGCCGTCATACACATGGCTGCCATGGTGCATGTGTAGGGGTTGCAGCCGAACGCAAAATGGCTGCCAGGTGGTTGGAGCCAATAATGACACATTGCAAGGTTCAGAGATAACCATCCATGGAGGCAGCTGTTTCCAAATGGGAGGTGGTGGCAGCTACAACCCTGGATGGCTTCAAGAGGGAACTGGATAAACATACGGAGCAGAGGTCCATCAGTGGCTATTAGCCACAAGGTATAGATAGGAACTCTCGGTCTGGGGCAAGGGATGCTCTGTCTTCTTGGTGCTTGGGGGGGGGGGGGCAACAGGGGGAGGGCTTCTAGTTCCCTGGCCCCACTGGTGGACCTCCTGATGGCACCTGGTATTTTTGGCCACTGTGTGTCACAGAATGTTGGACTGGATGGGCCACTGGCCTGAACCAACACTGGCTTCTCTTATGTTCTTCTGTTATGTTCTTATGTCTCTGCAGATGGAGGTACCTCATATGACCTACTGGGGTCATATGAAGTACCTCCTACGCCATGAGGTCGAGGAATGCCAGGATTAGCTTTTTGCTGTGGGAGAGAAGTGAGCAGGCATCAGGAGGCACAGTGGCAGGCGCCAGGCTAGGGAATGGGATCACAGCTCCAGCGGATTATGCTACCCGAGGACCAGAGTGCTTTTTGCAGGCAGCTTGCTTCTGGGTTGGTGTCCCTCTTGCCGAGAAAGGGGACACCCGGAAGCCCTTGGGGGAAAGCACTCTCACCTTCTTGGGATCCCGGCAAAGCAGTGCCCTGACGAGCTTCTTCACTTCCGGGGGCGCCGTCTCTGGCAAGGGTGGCAGCTCCTCCTCCCGGTAGCTCCTGCTTTCGAGGGACGACCCCCCACTGCCGTAGAACGGGTTACGGGCCCCGAGGATCTCGTACGTGATCGCTCCGACTGCCCAGGCGTCCGTTTTGGTGTAGTCGATCACGACGCCTGGACCGGGGGAAGCTGTGAGCACCTGTAGAGGTGACGGCCAGAAGGGGGAAGAAATGTACAGGCAGGACTAAGTGCGGCAAACCGAGCTCCTGACGCAATCCTGGGTCTTTCTGCAGGCTCTCCAGAGCAAGACCAATGGCACTGGCCCAGACTCCAAGAGGGTCCTGGAATGTGACTGGAGGAAATGGAGTCAGGGAACTCGCAGGGTCTCAAGAGGTCTGAAGCGCCACATGGGGAGGATGGGCTCCGGTACAGAAGGCCACTCCCCTGTCCGAGGAGGACCAAGGAACCAGCAGACAGCCTCCCCAAGGCCAACATGAGCCCCTGAAGTTGCCCCTACTTGCCAGTCTTTATTTATTTAGCTACCCCACTTTCCTCCCCAACAGGGCCCCAAAGTAGCTTACAACATCATGTTCCCCTCCCCTGTATTATCCTCGCAATGACCCTGGGAGGTAGCTTAGACTAAAAGAGAATGTATAGCTCAAACATATCCAACATATGGCCTGGGGGCCCGTCGAGGTCTCTTATCTGGCATGCAAGCAACTGGGGGGGAAACCAGTCAAAATGTGGACTGGACGGGCCTATATTAGAGTATTATACCCCATGCTTACATCAGGAGGTCAGCTTGCTCCCTCCCCCAAATGCAGACCCTCCCCAGAGTCTTCCCCCAGAGCTTCGATGATTGCCCAACCCAGAATTGGCAACCATAAGGGGTGAGGAGGAGCGTTGGTTTGGCCTCGAGCTCTGCTGAGGAGGGGTACAGGTCACGGTCAGTGGTAAAATATCTCCGGTCCCCGGCATTACGTTTTATGGCACGTGTGGCCCGGCCCAACAAAGTGACATTTATGTCAGATCTGGCCCCGTAACAAATGAGTCTGATGCCACTGGATTGTAGTTGGCTCAAGAGCACGCTGTGGCAGTGGGGGGATTTGAACCTGGGGGCTCCCAGATCCAAGGCTGGCACTCTTAACCAGTACATCACATGTTGTCTTCCCCACTGGAGACCCCAAGAGGTCTGCCAGGGGAATGCAGGAGTAACAGACTTCAAGCCAGAGCGTCGCCTCTTTAAGACCCTCACTGGTAGACGGGGAGTGGGGGATGTTCAGACAGGCAGCCTTGAAGGCTGGCCCCACCCTTACAGGTCAGGAGGCTGGTGAAACAAGTCGCCTGCCAGGCAAGCATTCGAATCCTGCAGCTAGCCAACACCCTCCCTGCCCTTTGTTGTCCTTCTCAAACCAGCTCTGCGCTTTAGTCTCTATTGACTCCATGCATTGCCCTGAAGGGTTCAGATGGCCGAGGAAACACACCGGCTGACTAGCTTCAGCCTGCATCTTTTAACTGCGATCAAGCCCTGTTGCATTTCTAGAAGCCTGCACTGGTGTGCAGGGATGCCGGATACTCAAGAACGGCCCCGAAGAGAGCCAGGATTTACCTCTGGCGCCATGAGGCAGCTGTTGCCGCCACGATCCACGTACCAGCTGGTAAAAGGCAGTTTCAACCCAATTTTGTCGTCAGCCAGACAACAGCCAAAATCTGTGATCACCAGCCATGGGCGTCCCGCTGCAAACGATGGGAAGAGAACAGAGTCAGTTTCCAGGCAGGCACGCAGGGCTGCCGAGGCGCACAGAAGTGTGACTTCCTGACTTATAGTGGGCTCCACCCTCCTGGCAACTGGTTTCCTGCGCAAGTCTCACTGAGATGCTTGGGAGCAATGCAACAGCACATGAAGAGCTCGGTGGGGGTCGTGGAAGAGTCCTTTCCAAGCTGCTGCCCCCTAAATGTTTGCTTACCAACAATACAACATGGTTAAGGGGGGGGGGGACAGCAGCTTATGTTACGGGGAACATGCAAGCTTTTGGACTACACAGAATTCCTGCACAGACCAGTTCATACGGAGAGCCCCCCCCCCTGGTCCCTAAGAAAGAGAGATAAGAAATCCGGGGGTGATTCTGCACTAGACCTTAAATCCAGGCTCAACCCTGTCCCCAAACTTACATTCTACACTACACTCGAGTTCACCCCTGTAATTATCTCGGGGTATTTTTACATTCTACACTGCACTCAAGTTCACCCCTGTAATTATCTCGGGGTTTTTTTTTGTTTCCTCATTATATTGAGGTCACCCCGGTTTCGCCCCACACTTGTCCCCGGATAAACGGATGCTGTTATAACCAGGGATAAATGGAAGGCATTGTGTCGCGAGTTGAACTCTGATAAAAGCAGGGATGAGATCCAAGTGTGGAAAGGACCTGGGAGGACAAGAGATGCAGAGGAACAAAAGACACAGAAAGGGAAGAATTCATGTGAGAGGACTATGGGAAATGGCCAAAAGCCCTGTGGCAAAGGGTTCCAAGGAGAGCTTTGCAGGAAGCTTTGTGCCACCTCTGTCTGCAGGAAGGGAGCTGCCCAGATTGGGGAGGGAGGGTGGCGGAAAAAGAGAATAAGAGGGGAATCGTTTCAGGGAGCAAGAATCCGGGACATACCAGGGTCAAAATCGACTAGGATGTTGTCCGACTTCAAATCCCTGTGAGCCACTCCTTGTCGAACGAGGTGGTCCACCCCTTCCAGTAACTGCAGGATCATCATGGTGCCCAGGTGGGCATCGGGAGCCCTCTCACGGAGATACTGGCGCAGAGTGCATGGATAGCTGGGCAGGGAAAGCAGGAGGGAAGCTCAATGCAGATGGGCATTTGAGTCCAGAATGAAAACTCTAGACAGGCTGAAGACGTCTGTCTCTGTCCTCGCAATCATGCAGTTTCCCCTTCAGACATAAGAAACCGCTTGTGCCGATACTGAACTGCCCAGGAAATACGGTAGGGTTTTCTTTACAGGTTTAAAATAAAACAGATTGTTGTTTTTTGTGGAAAGAATGGACGACTGTCTGTGCACAAATAGTGGACAGTGTCATGTGGAAACAATGGAAAAATAACCGTACTGGTTGGGTGGCTGATATGTGTGAGATCCATGGTTTGAAAACAGCCCGGTTCTGTTTGGTTTCTGCAGGATTTGCACAGTGCTGATTGGGTAAACCTTGTTTCGGTCACACTTCAACACTGCCTCCCTGGCAACTCAGCTATGTACAGCCCATACTGGCTGGCTCCCATGTCATGCTTAACACCACCTCCCTCCTTCCTCAGAAAGGTTTTGTGTTCAAAAGGTTTTTTGGGAAAACGAAGTGCAGAATAAATACTGGAGCAGATGAACTTGCGATGTGCAGCAGAAAACACCGACTGCCAGAAGCACAGGATTGTGGGAATGGTAGAATTTATTGGATGTGGTGTTTATGTGTGTGTCATTATGAGAATGAAGGCAGGGGAAAAATAGAATGGCACCAGCTCCTACAGCAGCCTAATGCGTTCTAGAGCCCGCTGTGCTTAGAAGCAGAGGCCAAACTGTTTTTCAAAAATATGAAGGCTAGAAGCTAGGTGGGCTCACAAGCCATGCCAAACCCTGCTCCCTTGTTGACTTACTTTTTCATCACCAGGAAGAGTGTGCGGCTGTGCCCAATTCCAGAGGGATGCAGAGTGGCAGGCAGAACATCTGGGTAGTCTACCATTGCGCCAGGAAGCAGCGGGACATGAGATGTGAACGCTCGGAGCACCTGGACGATGCCTGGGTGAGGTTTCAGCCGCTTCTTCCCAAAGCCAGGTTTCCTGTTTCAAGACAACTCATTTATCACTGTGACAGTGTTTTGTTCAATTTGCAATGCGCCTTGACAGTCTTTATTAAGCATGTTCTCTTCAAACCCCCTGTGAGTTAGGGCCCTAGTTCCTCTAGTTCAAGAAGAGAAACAGAGACAGGGATTTTGACGGCCAGGCTAGATGAGATGCGACTTTGAAAGATAGGCAGGAGGAAAAGGAGGAGGTGATCACCCCCCTCCCCATTTTCCTGATGTCAATCATCTACCCAAGACCGCAGGGGAAACAAGCACATCTAACAGTGTGCATTCATTACTCAGGCTGATTCTGAAAATGAATATTTATGACTCTGTTGGTGCGAATACCAACTTGCAATCTCATAGAGAAACACAATTTTTCATCTGTAACCACCTTCGCTTTCACGGAATTCTGGGCATTTGGCCCACAAGCCGGCACACCTAATTCTTAGCTGCACTGCAGTCTTTAATTAAGACATCTGGCTTCATATTCTTGAGTGTGAACACAAATCCATTCATTTCACAGCACAGTACAAAAGGCACATGAGCTGCACATGAGCCAGAGGTTTTGGGTCAAAGTCCTGGAAAGCAGCAAAACGGTATATTTTAATTGTTCTGGCAACCTGTTAGAATGCACTCATGTTCTGATGCAGAGTCCTATTTTTAAAAATGGAAATCTTTTAAAAAATTTAAACTGCTATTTTTATTGGGTGATTTAAATAAACCTTCTCCGCTTCAAGGTGCGATTTACAATGCAATGTTAGACAGTCGTCCAAGATTTGCAAAGAGCAAATGGCAAGCAGCCTGAAGTTTCTATCACAGCCTGTTGTAAGGGACCCTGTCACAGAGTTTCATACAGAACCTCCCCACAACTGCCACCACCACCCCAAATTACAGCTATGCTAGAGAAAGCACATGCGTGACTTTCTCACATATAAGACCAGTGATTTCAGTAACTCTAACAGGAGCGTGGCCTGACCTGATTGGCCCCGGTTAGCGCAGGGTTGGCCCTGGTTAGTACTTACATGGGAGACCCCCAAGGCAGTCCAGGGTTACTACACAGAGGCAGGTAAGGGCAAACCACCTCTGAACGTCTCTTGCCTTGAAAACCCTATGAGGTTGCCATAAGTCAGCCGCGACCTGACGACACTTTCCATAGGGCTGCCAACCTCCAGGTAGCAACTGGAGATCTCCCGCTATTACAATTGATCTCCAGATGGCCAAGATCAGTTCACCTGGAGAAAATGGCTGCTTTGGAGGGTGGACTCTACGGCAGAGGTGGCCAAACTGTGGCTTGGGAGGCACATGCGGCTCTTTCACACATATTGTGCGGCTCCCGGCAGGGCAGCTGGGGACGCTAAAGATTATTAGCAAACAAATTATCATTGGACAAATAAATATCAGTATCAGTAGCTGCTTTTACCACTTTTGTTATTATTTTTGGCAGTCTCGTTTAATGTTAATAAAAAGCAAATGTGCATATTCCCCAGTAAAAACTTGTAATATTTGTTCATGTCTTGTGGCTCTCAAACGTCTGACATTTATTCTATGTGGCTCTTACGTTAAGCAAGTTTGGCCCCCCCTGCTCTATGGCACGATACCCTGCTGAGGCCCCTCCCCCTCCCCAAACCTCCTCCTCCCCAGGCACCACCCCCAAAATCCCCAGGTATTTCCCAACCCACAGCTGGCGACCCTAACTTTCCATCACTAAGAGAACAAAGTTTGTGTCCAGTGGCACCTTTCAGACCAACGAAGTTTTATTCTGGGCAGGGGTCATTTCCTGCAGGAGTGCACAGGAGCGAAGCTCCAGCAGTAAAGAGCCCAAGGGGCGGGCACATGCAACAAGCCCCACCCCCTGCTCCCAGCAGCCCTCAGTCAGAGCAAGAAGCAGCCAGGTAAGTTGCAGAGCCCCCACCGCCCCCCGGCCCAAAACAGTCCAGTGGCACCTTTAAGACCAAGTTTTATTCAGGTACAAGCTCTCCCTCCTCTGCGAGGACAGATCTGCACATTCCCCCCTTCCCCCAATAGCTAGCAATCAAAAACAGTCCAGTGGAGCCTGAGCGGTGGGTGTTGCCTTCTGACACACTTCCGGTGATGTCAGGGGGTGTGGCATATGCTAGTGAGTTATGCTAATGAGCTCCTGCACCTCTTTTTCTACGAAATGACTCCTGCTTCTGGGTATAAGCTTTCATGAGACAGAAAGTTAGAGTTGCCAGCTCTGGGTTGGGGAATACCTGGAGATTTTGAGGCTGGGGGCTGGGGAGGGGAGCGACCTCAATAGACTATAATGCCATAGAGTTCATCCTCCAAAGATATACCCAGAATTAAACTTTGTTGGTCTTAAAGGTGCCTGTAACGATTCCATGTTTTACTGTGTGTGTGTGTGTGTGTTTAAAAGTTGGTTGGCATGGCTGTGTGGGACAATCTAGAATGCTGAAACAGGCAAGTTGTATGATTGGTGAGTGACAGAGAAGGGGAGGGGTTTTGGAATGGATGCTGTGTGGACGACTGGAATGTCTATCGGGTGTGTCTGTTAGGTATGACAGTTGAGAAAAACAGTTAGTCAGAGCAGAGTGTGCTGTGTAAAAGAGTTGATATGAGTTTTGTCCTGAGGTCTCTGTGTGAGAAGTTCCTGTGTGAAATATAAGAGTAAAAATCTCTGTGTTAAGCAGACGGTTAAGTTCTGTGTTCTAAGAGTTACAATTGGAAGCTGAGAGTCTAAGAAGAATACAGTGAAAAGTGTTACAAGGTTGCTTTAACCTCCCTGTCAGTAAAAGAGAGGCTTGTGAGAGACACCAAGCCATGGTTCAAATCATTCCCAGTACTGTTTACATTGTTCACCCTCGTGTTTATACTTTCGTTAAATAAATCCTATTTACTTCCAAGTTTACCAGCTAAGTAAAGAATCCTTCCTCAGACCACATAGTTCCTCGAAAAGCCTAGACCCCGCGCTACAATACCAACCCCAGAAGAGAAGAATTGGAATTTATTAAAATTCCTGGTGGCAGCCAGAATACCCAAAGAAAAATAAAGTATAAGAACTTTTAAAGTAAAACTAGACCTCCCCAGATAAGAGGTCGTCACAGTGCCACTGGACTCAAACTTTTATGTCAGATCTGGCCCTTATAACAAATGAGTTTGACACCTCGCCCTCCATCTTTAAGTCACCCACTCTGGAATAACCAGGGAGGAGATACAAAGCCTTCCTCCTGTCTTCTTTGGCACTGGAGTGGGAAGGGGAGAACTGTGACTGCGTCAAGAGGGGACAGCTGCCGAAGCCGTGTGCCTTCCCCCCATCACCTTTTCCAGCTTCTTGCAAATTACCCTCCAGGATTCATAGGAATCTTTCTGAAAGAACTCGTTCACTGAGGGCGGCGGTTGACCTTTCCTCTGTACGGTTTTGTTTCCCTCAATGTGGAGCTTAAAACAATTTGGGGGGGGGGGTATAAGTTTACTTCTGCTCGATAAATCCTACCTGGGGCAGGCGACGACTCCAAATTCTCCAGACAAAGCAGAGCTCCGGGCTGGAACGAGCTCCTGCGACATGGTGCTGAGGATGGCTTCGCTCGAGGAACCAGCCTAGGCGAGCAGGGCCAGAAGAGAAGAAACGTCTTTCTTTGGGTTCAAATTCCTCCCAGCTAAATCCCTTTCGCCAGACCTGGGCTGAGCCCTTGCTCCAAACCCCCTCCCCCAGGCACCTTCATTTTGATCGATGCTTGCACTGACTTTTAATTGCCGTAAGCAGCTTTGTGAGGTATTTTGGGGGCCCGAAGTGGGAGAAAATATAGTGAAATAAATAGATACCACCTGAAAACTGATAGCCCACCCAAAACAGCTTATATCGGGAGTCCCCAACATGGTGTCTGTAAGCACTATAGCTTCCCTGGCACCTGCTGAGTATTAGTAGAAAGTGGGCGGGAGGGCTTCTGATTGGCTGTGCGGATTAAAAAGTATCCCGTTCAACAAAGCATCTGCCTTACATTTTGAAGAATTACTATGAGAGTTACACATAACCTTGCTCCATGACATTTTCTGATTAACCCCACCACCCGTGGCTGCCATTTTGTTCTTGTGCCCACCATCCTGTGTGTCAGAATGCCAAAGGTGCCCACGGGTGCAAGAAATCTGGGGACCCCTGGCTTACATCCCTCCCCTCTTCTCCATTTTATCTTCACTACAACATGTGAGGAAGGTTAGGCTAAGAGAGGATGACTGGCCCAGAATCACCCAATGAACTGCCGTGGCACTGGGAATTCCCAGGTCCAGCACTTCAACCACTCCACCACATCAAGCTGCTCTTTGTATTTTCTTCTCCCCAAATCATCCCAAACCAGTCAAAGGAACGACACCCTAGTAGCAAAACTGGCCTGGCTGTCACAGGCTGAGTTTTAGACAGGCATTAACGAATCCATAATCTGACAGCGTTTTCATTCCAATTTGTTTCAATTTTCTATTTAACACCCCCTCCCCAAAATTCCTGAAGTCAACCTTCCACTAAAAGATTTTCCTAAGTAGCAAACCCAAGACCGGGTCCTCACCGAAATGTTCCACATCATCTTGATAGCCAGCGGGTAGCCAGCTCTCCAGTAACGGGCTCGGCGAGCATCTGCAGCCTGGGTCTCTGAACCACCACCATCTCCAGAGTTCTGGTGACCGCTGGCTTTGCAACAGGCAGATGACGGAATCGTCGCTTCATACACTGCGGCGCTGCAGCCTTTGCCAATGGGCTGGCCAATGGAGTACTCTTCCAGTTTGAAGCCCCGCTGGCGGAATAAGCCCAGGGGATCTTTCGGAGTCCTTTTCCTCTGCGTAAATATTGTCTGGGGTGAAAAAAACCCGACAACAGATAACACAGGTCACAAAATTATCCTTACAGTATTTTGTGTGTGTGTAAATAATGTGCTGGTGACGAAAAGCTGATCCCAAAGAAGGGCAGGCAGGCAGTTCCACTGAGGTCTTCCCTGCCATATCTTATAGGCAGGATGTCTCAAGATAAACAGTAAGAGCCCAGCTGGATCAGACCTCAGAGGGATCTTTTCCAGCATCCTAGCCAGTCAGATGCTTCAAAGAGGAGGAGAAGAGGAGGAGATTGGATATCCTGCCCTTCACAATGGGAAGGAGTCTCAGAGCAGTTTACAATCTCCTTCCCCTCCCCACAACAGACACCCTGTGAGGTAGGTGGGGCTGAGAGAGCTCTTTCGAGGACGGCTCGTCAGCGAACAGCTCTGAAAGAACTTGTAACCGACTCAAAGTCACACCAGCAGCTGCATGTGGGGGAGTGGGGAATCAAACCCCGTCGAGTCCATGCTCCCAACCACTACGCCCAACTGGATATGGAAGCAAGGGCCCTTTTGTTATTTCTTGTTCAAGCGACACTATCTCTGAACATTGAGGTTCCATCTAGCTATCACAGAAAACAACCACTGAGTGTGCTACCTTCCATTAATTTTTTCCAGTCCCCTTCTAAACCCCACCCCAGTCAAGTAGCCATCTCTGCCATCTTGTGCAGTGGATTCCCTAAGCCAACTGCGAGTTGTGTTAAATACTTCATGGTGCTAGGTCGCTAAGGCAGAAAGAAGCAGAGCCTGGGCCTATGGATCCAACATCTGGGGCTCAAGAAGCATCCTGCCCCCGAACATGGCTGCTCATCAGTCTGACCTGCACTATATTCTTTCCCAAAATAACCTTAAAACTGGTGTCCGTAACCACATCAACTAGCAGCAAGTTCTTAAAGAGGTGTGGGAATGTCCTTCCTTCTAAAGCCGTCTAAGAAATTAGCTTCTATTACCAAACTTGTGGCAGTGAGTTCCATAAATTCATTGCACGTTATGCTAGGGGGGGTTTCGTGGCAGAGCGGGGATTCGAACCTGGGTTTCCCAGATCATAATCTGATTCTAAAACCACAGGTGGTGGAAAGTAGGGTCACAGCCAACTTATGGTGACCCTGTGGGTTTTCAAGGCAAGAGACTATATACTGCCGCTACCAATTTTATTATCGTTTTCATGATTTCAATGTGATTTTATTGTAGCGAGTCTTTGACTCTATTTGTTGTGATCCACCCTGAGCCCGTTTGGGAAGGGCGGAATAAAAATCCCAACATAAATAAAAAATAAAATAAATAAAATAAAAACAGCTAGTTTGGCGTAGTGGTTAAGTGCACGGACTCTAATCTGGGAGAACCGGGTTTGATTCCCCACTCCTCCACTTGCAGTTGCTGGATGACCTTGGGCAAGCCATAATTCTGATAAGAGCTGTCCTTGAAAGAGCAGTTTCTGTCAAGAGCTCTCTCAGCCCCATCTACCTCACAGGGTGTCTGTTGTGGGGAGGTGAAGGGAAAAGAGTTTGTAAGCCACTCTGAGACTCCGAGTGAAGGGCAGGGTATAAATCCAATCTCTTCTTCTTCTTCTACCTTCCTCCACAGAACCACCCTGGACTTCCTTGGTGGTCTCCCATCCAAGTACTAACAGAGGCTGACCCTGCTTAGCTTTGGAGATCTAATGAGGTCAGACCAGTCTGGGCCAAGTACTGCACCATGCGAGATGCAGCTTTCAGCCTTCAAAGTGCTTCACGTACATTAGCTTGCTGCAGTCCTTCCAACAGCTTTGTAAAATATGCCAGTGTTATCATCCCCATATCACAGATGGGGGATGGACTGCATGACTTGCCTAAGGCTACGCAGGCATTCTGTGGCGGAGGTGACAGTTGGACTCTATGGAATGCAGCTAATTCTCTTAGCTGCTTCATAACACCCATTTCCCATGTCACCAAATGGCTAAATGGACCCTCCACGTTTGGAGGCACTATGCCCCTGAAGACCAGTTGTTGGGGGACAATAACTCTCTGTGTGGCCCAGCTTCTGGGCTTTCCAGAAGCATCTTGCTAGGCATGGCCGCTGTGGGGAAAACCAAACAAAACCGGATGCTGAACTAGACAAACAGTCTGACCCAGCAGACTTATTCTGACATTTATATAAAGAGGCAGAGCTATCTACAGTTCTTATGTATATTATATAGATTAAATGATTTATCAGTTTTATCATTTGTTAACTCAAATGTTGTAAAAATTTGTTTCGATATAATATTTTTATTTAAGCTTTCTGTACATAACAATAACCATATCCACATTAAAATTCAGATATAACAATTAGCTTTCGACCTTAACGATAGTCTATGTACAATGGAATGACTATTTTGCGGTAATACTTAAATGAAGAGTTACAACAGTAAATATTCAAAAACACAACAAATCTTGATAATGTGGGTTCTTTGGAACAATTTTGTTTCCCGGTAAATATTCCACTGCAGGATACCCCAAGTCCCCTGAAAAGTTTTTTGGTAATTTTCTTAATTAGGAATTATAGACTGACTCATAATTCTGCCATAAATTAGACGCTCCCAAACTTTGTTTTGCAACATCCTGTTTTCTCTCTCCGTTTTGTCATCATGGTAATTCTGGCGAATTTTAAGTACATGTGGTGTGCATGTGTGGCAATCAACAGCTGTTAACCAAAAAAGTTAAATGGAGCCGCCATGCTTGGAGGCAGTCTACCTGTGCCTACCCAAATGCTACCAATGAACAGCCAAGCTAGGGTTATTAACGTAACACTTTGCTTATGGGATTCCCTTGAGTAGCCACTGTGTGAAGCCGGATCCCACCCATTAATTAATTTATTTTGAAGACTGGACAGCTGCTAGACTGGAGGGCCCGTTTCTTCCTCTCCCTTTCTCCATAGAAAAGGTACTCCATTTAATATTGGGGGAGGGGCTTTTTAGCCCCACTGCTGCCTGGGGGGAGAGGAGTAGGGAGGTTCCCAATAAATGCCCCTCCCACACACACACACACACCAATGCTCCCTCTAAGCCGTGGAGTCTTGTGAGCAAAACTTCTACTTTGTCAGCTACTAGCATTAAAGTTGCGAGCGATCGATCTGGCTGCTGCATCAATTAGCTTGCTCTGGAGCCCTCTTTCCTGAGCGAAGGCTAAAACGTGTGAGCAGAAAATTAATAGCAACATTGTGAGCAATTGCACAAATAACATTAGCCCAATACTGGAAAAACAAAAATGAACCTACTCTTCAATGTTGGCAAAACAAAATCTGGGAACACTTTGTATATGGTAAAATTGTCTCTTACCAAAAAGATTTTCAAGCAACTTGGCTCCCAGCAGTGGAATATCTCGCAGAGGAAGAAGTGATTCCAAACAACTCTTCTTACAAAGATCTGTTATATTTTTAAAAGGCTCTTACGGGTTGAGAATGTTGATTATTGTATGGTATTAATATGTGTTCTGAATGTACTGTTGTATATATGGTTTAAAATAATAATAATAAAAACACTTATATGGAAAGGGGAAAAAAGTGTGAGCAGGAGGCTAAAAAACTGTGAGCTGGCTCACCCTAACTCAGCTTAGAGCCAGCGCCGGCTCCAGCAACGCCAGTCCCAGGCTGAAGGCTAAGCCGAGGCGGCGGCAGTGGTAAGGGCCGGCCGATACCCGGGCGGCTACTTGCCGGAGCGGCACCCGCCGGAGGCCTAGGCGGTCCGCGGCCAAACGTAGGAAGCCCGCCCGGGTCGGCGGCGGCTGGCGGAGGAGAACGGCGGCCGGCGGCGGTCGCGGCGGCGGCCCAGGAACGGGAGGCCCCCAGCCGAAGCAGCGCGACAGCAGCCCCCGGCCCAGCCGCAGCCCCTTGCCCAGCGCTTGCCGCAGCGCCATCGCAGATCAGCCGCGCTCCGGGCCTGGCCCGGCCGCTCGACCGACTCTCTTCGCCCCGCCGGTGCTTCTGACTGTCGGCCGCGGCTTGTTGTGACGCCGCCCCCGAATGCGGTCGGACAGCCGAGCGAGGCGGGGCGGAGGCTGGCCCGGGGAGCCGGTGGGGTTCGCGTTACGCTTTGACCCTGCCTGCAGAGTGCTCCTGACCAATGTTCCCTCTAAGCTGCGGAGTCTTGGGAGCAAAAATTCTGCTTTGTGAGCTACTAGCATTAAAGTTGTGAGCGAGCAATATGGCTACTGCATAAATTAGTTTGCTCTGGAGCCCTCCTTCCTGAGCTAAGACAAAAAAATCTGTGAGCCGGAGGCTAAAAAACTGTGAGCTGGCTCACACTAACTTAGCTTAGAGGGAACACTGCTCCTGACCATGTGCAGAGAGTGACCACTCAGTGTTGTTACTATATAAGTTTGTTTACCTGCTGTAACCTCTGTCTGTGTGCTATATGTATTTGAAGCTCTTATGGTTTGATGTTTGTTAATCTTGATTTATACATTTCAATAAAATATATTGTTAATAAAATAAAATGTTAAGAAACTGCATGAGATTGCCCTCTCTTCTTTTCCCCTCTGGTCTGGATTAACAAATTGTACTAATATTATGGGACTGTCATTACAACAATGTACATTCAGGCTCTAAAGACAATTTAGGAGCCACAAGATACATAAACAAAAATCACACCGTAGTTGCAGACACACACTGGTAATGATAGGGTTGCCCTTATTGTAGAAAATAGCCAAACTGCTAAAATTGAAGGGGGTTGGTCCAGTTGAAAGATTTGGGGGAAGGGTGTTAAAGGATCCTTTAAGTGGTTTCTAGACTTGGGAAATACAGTTAAGAGTTTTATATAATGGTGCAGTTTCTCTCTGTGTGTGTCGGTTTTATGTGTTTTATCAGATTGTTTGTAAAAATACATATAATTTTTAAAAAAGATTGCCCTTACTACTGCTGTGTTTAAAAAGTGATATTCAGCAGCTGGTTAAAGCAACTTGGAAACCACAAGATGTTATAAACAGTTTAAATTTGCAAATGTCACTCAATAATTATACCTTGCCTACCCCCCAAAAGACCCAATGGGGTTGCCAGATCCCACCCCTGGCCACTGGTGGGGGGTAGGGAGGCCAGCTCCATGTTGGGAAACTCCTGGAGATTTGGTGGTGGAGCCTCAGCGGGGTACAATAGCATAGAGTCCACCCTCCAAAGCAGCCATTTTCTCCAGGGAAACTAATTTCTGTAGTGTGGAGATGAGCTGTAATTCTGGGGGATCCCCAGGTCCCGCCTGGAGGCTGGCATCCCTGATTAAAACCAAAATCTTGAAACCAGATTGAATTTCTCAACCGCACTGGGGGTGGCGGAATAGACCACTGCCCTTCTGTTCTCTGCTGGGCATAGTCCAGTTAGGAAATCTCCAAAATCCTCAGGAGTGCTAAGTTACAAAATGCACCAAGGAGGCCCTCCTAATTATACCACTTGTGCATCAAGTTTAGAGAGAAGGGCCACGAAGACTGCCTCCCGGCCCTGGAATTCCCTCCTACTGCAGACTTGCCAAAGTCCAAGCCTGAGTATTGTATTTGCATATGTATACTATACCATGTATGACATTTATACAGATAATAAATGTATGGGGGTGGCATACTGATGCAGATATTGAACAACATGTACAATTCACAGGAAAAGTTCAATGCAGCCAAAACAGAAAACAGCATGAATGAATCGTGGATTTGTTTTGTGCAATGGAGAAGCAAAATCAAAATGGGATTTCTTAGGTCAAAGGAGAAGGGAAGAGAAATAGGAACTCACTCCTGAACTAGGACAGGATCACATAGAAGAAGAGGAGGAGGAGGTTGGATTTATACCCCGCCCTTCACTACCCAAAGGAGTCTCAGAGCGGCTTACAATCTGCTTTCCCCACAACAGGCACCCTGTGAGGTAGGTGGGCATGAGAGAGCTCTTTTGAGAACTGCCCTTGAGAGAACAGATCTGAAAGAACTTGTGACTGACCCAAGGACACACCAGCAACTGCATGTGAAGGAGTGGGGAATCAGACCCGGTTCTCCCGGATTAGAGTCCACGCTCCTAACCACTACACCAAACTAGCTTTCAGGTCAGATAAAATACAGTAAAAGAAACATCCATCTATCCTAAGAATAATTTAAAAAGTCTTAAACTGGTGCCAAAGTGAAAACAATGAAGGGCCTTATTATGAATCTGTCCGAGGATAGTATTCTATTAAATGGGGAGCCACTGCTTTAAAGGCCCTTTCACTGGTAAACATTTGCCTCCCTTTGGAAAGTGAGGGCACCAGGATGTGCCATACTGACCTTCTTTTAATGGTATGTATGGGAAATAGGGAGGTCAAGCTCAGGTTTGCAAATAGAATGATACAGAACATGGAATGATAGATGTTTTCACGGACACAACCACCCGCTTCATCTCAACCTCCAAAGCACGTAACATGACAATCTATTTTGATTTTTTTCCCCTCTTCCTGAAAATGTGTGTGTGGATGGGGGGGGGGGGGTTTGTCAAGGAAGAGTTCGAACACAATTCTGCCACAAAGGTACATTGCTAGGGTTTCCTGCTCCACTTTGGGGTGATTTTTGGAGATTTGGAGGGAGAGCCTGGGGAAGGTGGAATTTGGAGAGGGGTAGGGACCTCAGCAGAGTATAATGCCATAGAGCCCATCATCCAAAGCAGCCATTTTCTCTGTGGAAACTGATCAGTGGCCTCTGGAGATCAGTTATAATTCCAGGAAATCCCCAGACACCACCTGGAGGTTGGCAGCCCTAGCCAGGGGTCATTTTGGAGAAAAAGAGGTGCAGGAGCTCATTAGCATAACTCATTAGCATGACTTATTTTCATATGCCACACCCCCTGACATCACCAGAAGTGCGTCAGAAGGCAACACCCACCGCTCAGGCTCCACTGGACTGTTTCGGATTGCTAGCTATTGGGGGGGGGGGAACGTGCAGATCTGCCCTTACAGAGGAGGGAGAGCTTGTACATGAATAAAACTTGGTCTTAAAGGTGCCACTGGACGGTTTTGGACCAGGGGCGGGGGGCTCTGTAACTTACCTGGCTGCTTCTTGCTCTGACTGAGGGCTGCTGGGAGCAGGGGGTGGGGCTTGTTGCATGTGCCCGCCCCCTGGGCTCTTTCCTGCCGGAGCTCCGCTCCTGTATGCTCCTGCAGGAAATGACCCCTGCCTAGTACATACCACTGTGCCTTACTTTGCTTTTCACCACTGTCATTTATGATCTCTACAGACCTTTTACAGCAGCATCATGGCCTGCGGCTCCTGTATTTATTGACCGCATTTATTATTTTTTCCCATTCATCAAGAGTACTCAAGGCAACACGTGCTAATGGCATAATCTAAACACAGCTCTTACAAAACATGTGATTACATTTTTCAAAAGAAAAAAAAAAGGTTAACACTTTAAAGCTGTGTTAACAGTGTAAATGATTAGATTCCCTTGGCAGCGAGTTCCAAAAGGTAAGGAATACAATAAGGGTTGCCAGCCTTCCAGCTGGGCCTGGCGATCTCCCACTTTTACAACTCATCTCCAGACTACAGAAATCAGTTCCCCTGGAGAAAATGGCTGCTTCAGAGGGTGGATTCTCTAGCGTTGTACCCCGCTGAGGTCCCTCCCTTCCCCAAACCCCGCCCTCTCCAGCCCCCCCCCCCCGATCTCCAGGTATTTCCCAGCACAGAACTGGCAACCCTAAATGCAATAAAAGCCATTAACAGTTCCACGCCATAACAGTCAATCCAGGAATGTACATCCAGGCCCTCCCAGCTGATTTGATTCACCGAAGAAGGGATTTAGGAGAGCAAATGTTCCCCAAACTGTCTTTGCATGACTTGCAGAAATCTCTAGTCCAAATGGCGGCAATGTTACCCTCAACCGCTGCGTTATCAGGAGAAAGAACCAGTCATTTGTATTCCCTTTTGGGCTGGAACGGAACAATGGAATTAAGGCCCCGTTAATAGCAAGCTCCTAACCAGTCATCTTTAATTATCCAGACATTAGCTTGTCGTATAGCCCTGGATGGCATTTCATTGAGTTAAACAGCGTGATCGCCATGAGAATGTTGCGCTTGGGACGGATAAATGCTGCACTCCTTTCTTCCTGTACAAGAAACAGAGCTTGAGTTAGAGAAGCCAGATACAGAGAATGCATTTGCCCTTCTTACCTAGCTGGCATGCCTGCTCTGCCCCCAGTGCTCTGGAAACGCACTGTTTAAATGGGGCACACATGGTGTACGGCCAGTGTGGCGCAGTGGGTGGAGTGTTGAGCCAGGACTGGGGGTACCTGGGTTTCAAACTCCTCTTAGCTGTGAAGCCCACTCCATGGCTCTGGGCCAGCCGTGTTCCCTCAGCTTAATGGCGAACCACTTCTGTTCATCTCTTGCCTTGACAACCCTACTGGGTTGCCATAAGTGACTTGATAACACTTTTTCACAACCACCCTACCTCTCAGGGTTGTTGTGGGAATAAAATGGAGGAAGGTGGAATCACATTCCTTGCCCGAAACAGGTAGATCACGTTGTTGTTCTTCAGTCACACAGTCGAGTCCGACTCTTTGCGACCCCATGGACCAGATCCCGCCAGGCCTTCCTGTCTTCCGCCGTCCTCTGAAGTTTGCTCAATTTCATGTTTGTTGCATCTATGATCACGTACACCATTCCAGATTTTATTTTGGAAACTGATTGTGCGAACAGGGGAGGTGCAGGTTGGATTGTACATTAATATACTCTATAACAGGGGTGGCCAAACTGTGGCTCAGGAGCCACATGTGGCTTTTTCATACATATTGTGCAGCTCCCGCCAGGGCAGCTGGGGAAGCTAAATATCATTACCAAACAAATACCATTTGACAAATAAATACCACTATCAATATCTGCTTTAACCCCTTTTGTTATTATTTTTGGCAGCCGCATTTGATGTTAATAAAAAGCAAGTTCCCGTATTTTCCAATAAAAACATGTAATATTTGTTCATGTCTTGCGGCTCTCAAACATCTGATGTTTATTCTATGTGGCTCTTATGTTAAGCAAGTTTGGCCACCCCTGCTCTATAATATACATGAGTATACCTTATGAGTATGCCTGATCTTGCCAGATCTCGGAAGCTAAGCAGGCTCGGCCCTGGCTAGAATTTGGATGGGAGACCACCAAGGAATACCAGGGTTGTGACACGGAGGCAGGCAATGGCAAACCTGAATGTCTGTTGCCTTGAAAACGCTGTGGGGTTGCCATAACTCAGCTGCGACTTGATCCTTCTTTCCACCATACACTATTTGTATGCCTTGTACTGATGTTAGGCAGGGGGCAGGGAGGGGGAACTGTACCCTTCTTCCTTCCTTGCTTCCTACCACATATAGAGAAGCAATCAAGGGAGGGATCCAGAGGTCATTTCAGGGGGGGATCACGGGGGATCGCAGTTCCCCCGGTTGAGGTACGGGGGGCGGGACACACGACGAAGCCCCGCCCCCTGCTTCCCGCCGCCCCGCTTCCGGCCCTCATTCAGCCAGGAGGAGGCAGGAGAAGAGGGAGGGTAAGTTGCTTCCTCCCCGCCTCTCCCCACCCCTGCCTGCCTGGGGCCAGGGAGGGTCTTGGCGGGGCTTCCTCGCACTCCCGCCGACCTTGCAGGTCCACCGCCGGGCCCCTGATGTCAGGGGGTGTGGCATATGCTAATGAGTTATGCTAATGAGTTCCCCTAGCTCTTTTTCTACAAAATGACCCCTGGAGGGATCCATTATTCAGTTTGCCTAAGTGACGACGACGGAAAGAATTTGAAATACTGGACTGGAGATAAATCTTGGAGGTGCCAAACAAGGTCCCTTCTCCCTCACCCTCCTCAGGGCGTTTTCAGAGCTTCGGATCCAAAAGAGTGAGGTAGGAGTTCTTCCAGAGTCTTCACTATATACGTCCCATCTGCCTTGGTCATATAGAGGTCCCACTGTTTGCCAAACTAGGAGAGAATCGCATGAGAAAAAAGTGTTTTAAAATCTGCATTTGCAAGTAGTAACGTAAGGGAACGTTGCTGCCGTGTGAATCGTCAGAAGTTTTCTTCTTCTTCTTTCTTTTTACAGGGCAGCAGCATAGAGTTGCCAACCTCCGTGTGGGCCTGAAGATCACCCAGAATCAGGGGTCATTACCTGCAGGAGCGCACAGGAGCAGAGCTCCAGCAGTAAGGAGCTGGGCGGGCACATGCAACAAGCCCCGCCCCTGCTCCCAGCGGCCTTCAGTCGGGCCATGAGGAGCAAGAAGCAGCCAGGTAAGTTGCAGAGCCCCCCCCCGCCCCGCCTTCAGGTACAAGCTCTCCCTCCTCTGTGAGAGCAGATCTGTGCGTCCCCCCCCAATAGCTAGCAACCCAAAGCAGTCCAGTGGCACCTTTAAGACCAAGTTTTATTCAGGTACAAGCTCTCCCTCCTCTGTGAGGACAGATCTGCACGTTTCCCCCCCAAAAAAATAGCTAGCCATCCAAAACAGTCCAGTGGAGCCTGAGCGGTGGGTGTTGCCTTCTGACACACTTCCGGTGATGTCAGGGGGTGTGGCATATGCTAATGAGTTATGCTAATGAGTTGTGCTAATGAGCTCCTGCACCTCTTTTTCTATGAAATGACCCCTGCCTAGAATTACAACTGATCTCCAAACTAAACGGCTGCTGTGTAGGCAGGACTCTGTGGCATCACATCCCTGCTGAGGTCCTCCCTTCCCATTCCCGAATCCCCCCCCTTCCCCAGGATCCACTCCCAAATCTCCAGGAATTTCCCAGCCCAGAGTTGGCAACTCTGCATAAGAACGCACCTGGGGAACTGGCTCTGGCTTCTACATCAGAGTTTTCACTGATGCCTTAGATGCATATTTGGGGAATTCTATCAGATAGTTACGATGCTCTCATTACCTTTAAAGCGCATCAGTTTTAATCAAATGATGTTCATCCCACCGCAGTGAGCAAGATTTCTGCTGGGAATTGTAATGCTTGACGTTTTCATACCTCACATTCTCTAGTGTTTGAAATTGCCTCCCGGCTGTGTGCCTCTAATGCTGTTTCATTTTTTCTTTTAAAATTGCGAATTAACCAAATATAAATTAATAGAACCTTGTATTACTGTTAAGGCTGTCATGTTCGGGGCTTTGATGGATATTTTGGCCTCATTTATTATATGTCTGAATACCCTGTAGTTGGTATTAGAGACCTTTACGCTGCTGAACACACCAGATATAAATATTTTAAACAATCAAACAAATAAACTTGGCTCGATCCCCATTCCTTTACTCCTTTATGCTGATGACGCAGTGCTATTGGCCCTAACTCGTATAGGGCTGAAACGCCTTTTGAAGAGCTCTGTAGACTATTGTGAAAAGAATAGGCTAGTTCTGAATTTCGAAAAATCCAAAATTATGATCTTCGGTAAGACTTGGAAGCCATCCAGATGGAATATTGGAGGCCATTTCATTGAAGAAGTCAAAACTTTAAGTATTTGGGTATCCACTTTTACTATAACACCAGATGGGTCTATCATAAAGAGAGAGCAATTGAGGCAGCGAACAATATCACTGCGGCAATTATACGTTTCCATTATACCAGGGGTAACCAGTATGTGCCGGCGGCCCTTAAAGTTTTTAATGCCAAATTAGCTGCTCAATTATTCTATGGAGTACCAATCTGGATTGAAGACTTAAAAGGGGACTTGGAAAGAATTCAGTCCAGATCTTTTACAGAAAATTCTTGGACTTCCCTCGTGTGTTCCTTATGCAGCTTTATGCTTAGAAACCAATCAAAGGCTTCTATCGACCAGAGCGTGGCTGATAACAACTCAGTTTTGGTTGTCCCTGTAGTATTAATGAAACTGAGAGTCTGGATCATGTCATTCTACATTGTATCTTCTATCGAGATGCTCGAGCATTATATCTCGTGGGCACTCAATGAAATTGCTGAGTGGTCGGGTTAGAACGGATAAAAGGAAGTACTTCTTCACCCAAAGAATGATTAACACATGGAATTCACTGCCACAGGAAGTGGTGGCGGCTACAAGCATGGACGGCTTCAAAAGGGAATTAGATAAGCATATGGAGCAGAGGTCCATCAGTGG